TCTGAGTAAAGCTCAGGTGTGTGGGCACAACAGATTAATTCCACACATTTTCACGGTCACAACTGAGCCCTGTACCTGTTTTAGGCTTTTTAACGACTGACCTTTTAGCAAGGAAAGCACAGGAGTGATTGTTGACTTTACAATCAACTGAATTCCATTCAGGTGAGCTCACTCCAGGGTCCTGTTATTATGCATGCTGACTCACTGAGCTGCTTACTGGGATGAATTATTATTATTATTATTAACGAAATGTGTTTAACTGCTAAGACAACTGAAAAAGGTCTATTCCTCACCTGAACCTTGTTAACTGTCATGATCTGAACTCTCCTTTCCTAACCACTTTTCCTTGATCTAAATAGAAAAAGGCCATGAGGTCAAGGAAAGATGTGAAGGAGAATTCAGATTAGGATAAGACAACTGCAGTGCGGAGAGAATCCAACCTTCCTATCTTATGCTAAAGGAGTCAAAATAGGAAGTATTGAAGCTCCTTTCCTTATCATTCAGAGAATTCAATCAGATGTTATCATGGCTACTGCTTAGATACTTCCTGGTCATTTTGCTCAGTTAGGAACGTTTCCAAGCAAAAATGACTTTTCAACCACAGCCCTGGACTTTCTGCTTGAACAATTCCTGTTTTATTACTTTTCCTATGTGTCCATGGTTCTACTTCCTGCCTTCGTGTGTTTCCAACCTGTGATTACCTGTTTCACCCTAATGTGTTGCACCTGTGTCTCATTACCTCCTCTCCCTAGTCTGTGTTCCCCTCGCTCCTTTGTCAGATAGTCTGTTTGTGTTTCCTGCGTTTGTTCCCCACTGTTTCCCTTTGTGCCTGCAGCCTGTTCTGTCTGTTCCAGCCATTCCCGACCTTTTGACTCATCTGCCTGAAAGCCTGTTTATGTTCATCATTAAATTAAAATCACTGCACCTAGTTGCCTTCATGTGTGTCTGTATTTGGGTCCTGAAATCAGTGAGCTGTGACGTGTTCGGTTTTCCTGCCTCATCTGAACTCTGTATGTAACCATTAACACAAGTAGGAGGCTCCAGCCACCCCAACAGCACAATTTAGCAGAGTCAGCCCACAGGTGAGGTTGCATTTGATTTAACCGAATGTGTTTTTAGGCGCCTAAAGGAGCTGTAACTGAAAGACGCCATCAAATCAAATGGCACCCAGGCTGGTGATGTATATTATGTTTTCTCTTTATTTGATGACTATTGATTGTTAAATGAAATGTATCCTGGCTCTCTGAAAGCTGAAGAAGTTGTCTTCACTTTGATATTGACTTGATATTTCAGATACTGTAGAGAAGTTACACTGAGGGCTAAACCTGAAGTTGCTGTAGTAACCAAAAATCCAGGATTTCCTTCAACCTTCTTTTACCTAGCCAATTTTGGCTAAAAGGTCAATTTTCATCTCACTTAATTTCAAAGTTCTTCACACATAAATATAATATGTCAAAACTTTATGTATTATTTTAAATTTGTACTGCAACCTTTCAAAAAGGACACAGTGTGCGGTCCAGAAAGAGAAGCTGGGCGAGTATTTTACGGCAAAGAAACAATTTCATTGACATGTCATGGCAACAGGTTTCTACTGCTTTGTTTTCAAATGTAGCACACCAGAGAAGTTAACACAATTCCCATATCATGTATTCTACTGGCCATTTGGTCAACACTGCAGTCGGCTGTGAATCTTTTGTGTAAATGCCCAACAGAGATCTGTGTGTTCGTTTCTGAGTGTGGGCCCTGCTTTTCTTTTCCATGGCTGAGCTGCAAATAAGCTCTCCTCCAAGATACTCGGCTCTGTGACAAACCGCAAGGGGGGAGGAGTATGTCTTTGAAATGAAGTGGACAACAAAGCGGGGGAGAGGTGGGAGTTATAATCACATACAGCATAACCCGTAGGTAGAAGTCAACCCCGAGCGTGCAAATCTGCTACATCGCACACAACTCTGGACACACACTTAGTTGTGGTTGCAAATATGCAAACAGACTGCCTGTTATAATGCGGCATCTCTAATACTGAGCAGTTCTAATTAGACAAGGACACGAGCGAAAGACAAAAAGCAAAATCTCTCTCCCATACATTCACAAACATGCCCTATAACACTTCCTCAGGCAGCAACCCATGATGCAGCTTTCAGGAAGCAACAGTAAAACCCAAGGCGATAGCTACGTGTGACCAAAGTAATTTCAGTCAGCTCTATCAACGGTGCCTTCCAGCAACTCTAAAGCCCCGACACTTAACGGTGCATATAAAATGAGCCATTTGCTGTGTCCCATTTTTATGTACTTCTATACTCAAACTTACTATTGTCCATTCGCATTGACAAGTATGGCAACACGCAGTGCACTGAAAGTACATGGATGGTGCACTCAAAATGATAAGAAAGTTGAATGGAAAACAATGGACACTTCTCATCCTCAACGGCCACCATCTTCGCTATGCAGCAGAAGGGGAGTGACCACCAACATATTTTCAAGCTTGTCAAAATGGTGACTGAAGAAGTAGGACAAATCATTGGTGCCGATGGCGGCTTAATTTCCATGTTGCGTGACACACAGGGCACACACAGGAATGGAAAACGTTCACTTTAAGGCAAGTTAGCAAAGCACCCAACCCGGCGGGCGACAATCATAGTCATATGTTGCGATCATCATTTCCGCACAACAGCAGTGTTTGATTTGGGAAAACACCACCCTGTCGAAATTCATTTATCACGCATACAATGTGCACGGTGTACTACATGTGAGTGTACTGACTGCAGTATCTGATTTGACATGCAGCAATTGCGGTTTCACAAGTAGCCAGCCTCCTACTCCCTGATACCTCTGTGCACATTGCAACCACAAGCAGTTTTAAGTTATTAGATACACAGGCAACAAAGCACACAGTAAAAAAAAATAAAAATAAAAAATGAACACGCCTGCTGGACACAACAGTGTAACAGTCTGGCAAAGCAGCCAAATAACCACATCTACCTCTAGAGGGTCAGAGACACAGCATACATTTCTGGAAATCTGTACAATAAAACAGGGAACACAGTGGGGGCAAATGTAAATAATTTCCCTGTGATGACTGCACTGTTAGCATTCAAATTATTTTACTATTGTCCAATTCAGTCCGTTCTATCTCAGGGAAATGGTCAAGAAGCTTCAGATATGTGTCACCACTCATGCTCTGCTGGTTTTGGCCGACCGACAGTTGAGAGCTGTGATATCTCTGTTCTTTTCTTTTATCATGCAGGCTGATAACCATTTTTTGGCTTTCAGTTTTTGATAGAAAGTTCCTCATACTCGACCCTGCTGCAGTGACATAGTGTGTGGTAATAGTTATTTTAGGCAAATTGCAAAAACACTATTTTTCTAGCACATCCAGCATCAATTCCCAGCTAGAATATAGCTCCACAGATACTTGTTTAAAACATTAAACATTTATTAGCAGATAACAGAGAGGAGGGCAGAGAGGATAGAAGGGAAAGAAACAAGTACCACAGGGGAAAAAAAATCAACCAAGTGCATTTAGCACATGAACAGACAAGATTGAAAAGAATCCTTTCAAGTCAGTTTTTTAAAGCTTCTGCTGGAGCAGGAGAGGCACATGAACAGATTCTGTTTTTGTGACAAGCACTGCATCTAATTCACTGACAAACATGCATTCACAAAGCAGACATACAGTAAAACCCTTTAGGGCCCATCAAATGTAGCCCTTCACATCAAGCACAATGGTTGATTGTCAAAAATACAAAAATCATGATTTTAATGCTGTCACATTTTTAAAAAAAAACTATGTGCTACTGACTTTGACCATTTGTCAGTAAATATAAAAATTCTCTGTGCACGTGTGTACATCAATATTTCTCTTGAAAAGTAACCAATGTTTTCATTTCATTTCAACTTGATTTGAAAGTCCAAAAGTTAGGTGGTTCCATCAGGAGCTGTGAGTACCAGGTTTCTCTTCACAAAATGCATGAATCATCACAACGTGGGCTGACAACCAACAAGCATGCACATTACAGTTGTTCACCAGGACACCGAATTTGTCAAACCAAAAAAAAAAAAAAGATTCATCAGGATGTATTCCCCTTTTACATGACAGATACTGTCATCCTCTGGAATTGAGATTAAGCCAACAGGAGGATCAGAAACAGCAGTAAATGGCTGAAAATGATCCATACACGCCTCATACAGAATGTCTGCTCCACTGTCGCCATCTTGGCTGAGCCTGACCCTGCCTAACTCCTGGCTAATTCCAAATTGGGCACAAAGGTGGGGTGTGTGTGGACTTCGGTGCATGCTAGTTTGTGACCAGCATACACTCACCCACCTGTTACTCAAAGTGGCATGCCCTTAATTACGCTTAACTTTAAGCCTTAGTAAAATTTAAACAGGTGAGTTACATAAAAATTCACCCCGAGTGTAGACCAAAACTGTTTTTGTACCAGACTGTAAACATGTTTATTTCTGCCGTAAAGTCTGGCATTTTAACATGAGAGTATGAGAATTGACTCGCTTTTGTAGTCAGTGGCCATTTGAGGAACTGCAGTTTTTGGCACTTTCTTGTTGGGAGGTTTATGCTTGTGTGCAACAGCATATTTTCCAAGCTGCCGTGTGGCATCCAGAGCATGCTGGACAACAGAGGGCACTATGGTGTTGCTGCATTTATAATTTTTATTTATTCACCAGGACCAGCGTGTTTAGTTAAAGCCTCAGTGTGTAAAATTCAGATTTTGGTGACTCCTAGAGGTGGTATCAAGACAATGTGGCACAACGATAGTGCTGAAAACTGCCATTCAACCTCATAACTTATTCATTAGTTTGTGTTTTAAGTTTGTTTTCTCAAAGCAGTTCAAGACATTTTTCAATTTCTTGTACACACAGTCAAACTTTGTGTTTACTCCCTCTCCAGAATTTGAATTACATGAGGCTGTAATGAGTTGGCACAGCGCCACCTGCAAAATTTTCCGCTCGTCTCTACAGCCTCTTTTGACGTTAGATGACTGCTACAGCGTCTCCTCCTCATCCTCAGCTGTTGCATTCATATTTAAAACAGGCAGATTTTCCTTCAGCGAGATATCGTCCACCTGCTTGGGGCCACTGTCCTCAGGTTCTTCAGGTATGGATGGGTCTGAGTTACTGATCACGTAACCTGGGAGAGTGGCGTGCATGCTGATCGCAGGGGGGCCAGTGCTCCGGTAAGCACGGCTTGAAACAAGTGTGGTGGAGCGTGTGGAAGGCCCAGCCCCAGCTAGGTGGGACTGACTGCTGGTGCTGTTGTTGTTGATCCCCACAACCACAGAGCCGTAACGGTAGCGGCCGCAGACCACCGGACCCTCCCACTCAAAGGCCAGGTTCCATCGAGTCCATGTTTTCTTTATCTCTGTCTGGACCTGTGGGGGAGAAAAGGACAAAACTATATTACAAAATTATCAGAGAATGCAGAATAGACATCTTGTCAAGAGAATCATATTGTATAAATAAAGTTTATTAATATTATTAATATTCACTCCCCTTTTATCTCTTCACCCACTCATGAGAAAAGCTTTGTGGTAGATGTTGCTCTTCACTAGCATGTTTGTTTTCTGTCTCTGCCACATAATGCTATGGCAGATAATAACAAACACTCAGCTTGCCCGAGCTTGTTTGCTGGACACAGCCATCTACTGTTTTCTAATGAAAGGACAAAATTCAACTATAACCACAGTGTATGGCCTCAGTGACTAAAACAATGCATTGAGAGCAGCTTAAAGCTCTGTAGAGCAGGGTGTTAATTCTAAGAGCTGAGACCCTCTCATATTACGCCAGTCATTTGGTTCAGTATTAATAACAAAGTTATGCTTTACGGAGCTCTGATTCAACAGACTATAAAAATCCTCTGTTTAATTTTAACTTGTTTGAACTGCAGTTGGTCTGAAGGGTCTTGGGGGATGAGTGCTCCACAGGACTCACAAAAGGTGAGAGAAATGGCAGAAATTCTGAAATCCAGTTGGGATTGTTGGGAACAAAGTGTATGAGACAGAAGAGGGAGACAGAGATGGAGAATGACTAAAGTCATGACAGCACTTTTTTCATTACATTTCATTTGAGATGACAAGAAACAAATTAACTGAAAAAAAAAGACAAAGTATGTCACCAATGCCATATTTAACTTCAACAGATAGACCCTTGACTGTGTGAGCCACTGGAGTCATTTTATAGTTGTTATTTGAGTTTAAAACCAATCTAAAGTTGTTGTTTTTTTCACCATTCACTTTGCAAAGTTTCTATCTGCTTTAGTTTTGCAGTGTTTGGGCTTCTTCTATGTGATGTAAAGAAAAAAAAATCCACTTACCTCTCCATTGCAGAAGCAATAGATAATGGACACAAAGAAACCCTGAAAAGAAGAGGTTGACTCATAAGTTGTGAGCACAGATCACAGTGGACTTAAGAAATAAGCAGTGGGTATAGAGGATAATCCAACCATTTATAAAATGTCTTTCTTATGCGACTACAACACAAACACTTTCAGAAAATGAAGACAATAAGGATGATTCAGGTCAGCAACTATAATCTATTTGCTTCCAATAGTGCTCATGTAGAAAATAAATAACAAAACCGCTGCTTCTGTTCGGACTCCTGTGTTCCTGCCTCCTGTTACAGGACAGACGTGTGTCTTTGTGAAAGTGATAGATTATGGGAAGATAAGAAAGTCTGTGCCGAAGTACAGTATGTATGTGTGTGTGTGTGTGTGTGTGTGTGTGTGTGTGCGTGTGTGTTTTGCTGGTGAGAAACAGCCAGGCAGTGAAGCTGTGAGAAGTCTAAATCAACATAGTGTAGCTCTGGATAAAATAACAGCTGCCAGAGAAGTTCATCCTCACAGTCATTTAATAAGAAGATATTTACCAAGCAGAGAAAAACCGCAACACTAATAATAATTTTATCCTTCTTTAAGACCCCGACTTTAAAAAAAAAAAATCTGATTTAAATAACTTGGAGTTCTAATTATACACATTTCTATGAGAGGACCTGCAGGAGCATGAAAGCTGTCACTGAAATTGCTACACACACACACACACACACACACACACACACACACACACAAAAGACTGAAGCACAAATACCCTATTGCCAAGGCTGTACCACACATGCAGCTGCCTGAGAGACTGAGAACTGAGGGGTCCCTAAAGTTTCAGGCTCACTCTGCCAAGTGGTTTGTACTTATATAAAAGAAGATGGGCGTCATGCCAGAACATTTCCATTATTGTTTTATAAAATTTCTCTGATGTTTTTCTGTGAGGCTTGCTTGCACAAATTTTCCAAGTCGGATTCACCAAACTCTCTTAACTGGACAAACTGGTCATAAATCACTGGCTCCTGCCTGAGTAATAAATGTGCCATTAGAGCAGCACGAATTGCAACAAAGACAAGTATGAAGAGGAAATGATTTGAAGCTCTGAAAGCATCCCTCTAAAGCAAAGCGGTCCATATGTAATATGAAAGGTGGCTTTGACAATCACAGAGATATTAGACCAGAGAGTATTATATTATAGTCTACAGAGTAGTAGGTACATTGTTGGGTCCAACAGACCCTGAACTTTCAGATTAATTCAGATTAAGGTGTTACATTTCATTTCAAATTTGTGCAGTATTTGTTCATACATAAGAGAATATTGTAAATACATTAACATTGGTGCCACAAAAGTACTTAAAACGAGCCACAGGACAAATCTGTTCAGACGATTTCAGCCCTGAAGCCTTTACCTTTCCTGGCTTTTAGTTCCATTCAGAATCTACTCAGCATCCATCCATCTTTTCTTTTGTTTGTAACTTTTTTTTAATAAAACTTGGGTGTACTTTTTTGTAAATATTTCATGGACAAGAACAGAACACCTTTTATTTCAACATTAATTGTTTTTTTTAAAGGCTCAGTCTGAGCAGATGTGTGCTACTGTGACTCAGTGTGTTCATTATAATCTTTTCATGAAAGTGTATACACCACTCATCTCTAGGTGCTTTGCAGGTGTTGGGTAAAAGACATCAAATAAACAACCAATGATGAACCTGATGAATAGAGCTCTTTCCCTCTCCTCTTCTTGCCTGAGTTTATTATAGTTTATAAGTTTGTCTGTGCTGAATGGTGAATAAGTAAAGCAATACAGTGACATATGTCATTATTGCAATACTGTTTGATGTTATAGAGCCTCAGTTCCATCATGAATGTGGCTCTCTGTTCTTTTGACTTACTTTCCTTCATCTGTCTGCTCTCATAAGCACAAGCCTAAGTTTACAGGAGCCTCTGACAGTGCATGTCCTTAGAGACACCATGTAGGGACCACTTCCATTAGACTCCATACGTCCTCCATAACTTGTAATTACTCTTAATTAACCAGCATTTGGATTCTCTGTAAAGGTGGCCATTATTGAAATCAGAGAGGATCTGCAAACCAATGGAAATCTTTAATGAAATTTCCAGATGAAATTCTAATTATTCTGACCAATTCAGCTTTTAATTATCAATTTTGAGCTGTAACAGAAGCCAGGGAAACATATTGTTCAGTGAGGTGAAATATACCAAATACAGCAATGTTAGAAATATTAGACAGCAACATATTAAATACTAAAAGCTGTAAAATATTTTTAGAAAGTGTGAATAGAATGTAATACATACAGTTAAGGTCGCTATAATCTATTATTTTCATAGAGGTGCAAAGCCATTATTGCCTGGCATGTACCTTGTTTTTGAAGCTGCATCTGTGTGGTAATATCGTGGCTGCAGACAGAATGTGCTCATGCTGAGGTGGGTGGAGTGATATAGCTCAGGGTCTTTTTGGCACATGAGGTGGCGAAGTGTAATTTTTTTTTTACCCGGCATGAAATTGTGCTTTTGTTGTGTCTCTGGCCACCATCATAAATGCAACCACGGTGAGTCCTTTTTTTTCTGTTTTTGTTGACAGAGGCACACACACACACACACACACACACACACACACACACACACACACACACACACAGCCCTCTCACAAAAAAAACAATTCACGTGTGTTAAATTTGCCTTTTACACTTGGTATAAATTATTTGAACGCGAGTCAAGAATAAAATTGATGTGATTTAAGTGCTTGAGGAATGAGTAAATTCAATCCCTCTTCTTGATTAAATACCTGTAGCTTTGAGATTTCAGTCTGAATTATGTGCAGTCTCTAATTGAAGGACATTTTTGTGCACAATTACTTTATGCATAGGTCACAAACTTATGTACATTCATCAATACGATGTATATTCCCCCAGACATCTGACAACACAGGTCCATGATTTCTACACACCACATTGGTGAACTGCTCCATGCTTGAGCCTCAGCCTCTTTAAAAACTACTTTACAAGAAAATTGCATTTACTCTGGAGAAAGTCAATATGAGACGCTTCTGTGCTCTTCATTGTTTGTCACGTTTTTGTGAGTATGATATATTTATCCAGATGAGGATCCATTATGAATAATGACTCATTTTTACCAACTGGCGAGAAGATGGCTTTTCTGGCTCATTTTTACTTCACGCTGTCGTTGTGTGACCCACGACTCCTGACCCATTCTCTTTGACTGGTCCAGACGCTTCCTGCATTTTAAGATGACTGACCATCTTCAAAAAGACTCATGATTTATAGATGCCTGTGAATAAAAGCAACATTTGATGCCTCTTTGATTTTATACTATAGGGAATTAAATAAATAGAGGGAACAGTTTGAAATGGATTGGCTAATGCAAATTAGTTGTACTGTATATGAATGTCATGTTTAGGAGACAAGCAGCATTTTTATGAGGAAAAGTGTACTGGAGGATAGAGGAGACAACAGTTTGGTGACGCCAACATATGCTTTCTTTTTATGCTGTCTTTGCCCCTTTGAAGTTTCACCTAAGGCTTTTAATCTTTTAACATTAATCCCATCTGTCCACAAAGACACTTTTCCTGATCTTTTTTTCTCAGTTTCCATATGTTATCATTTTTATTCAAATACAGTATGCGTATGTCGGGTTCTAAATATACTTCTTAGCTTTGTGAGTTAAGAAGCACTGCTACCTAATATACAATAGGTTGCTTTGGGAAATGAACTCAAGAGCCATTCAAAGTGTTCAAACTTCTAAAACTGATCATTACTTGGAAAATAGGGCCTCGTTAAATTACATATTATCTTAAATAATGGCTGTTTGTTAAAACATTTAAAACTGATCATTACTGGAAAATAGGGCCATGGTAAATTACATATTATCTTAACTAATGGCTGAATGAACATTGTGCATTTACCAAAAATATGAAAACAAAACTTGTCTGAAAAATGAAATTAAAAAAAATGAGCCACAAGTAATGCCAACGATTTTAACAAAAGAGTGCAAGCCAACGCATCTCCTGCCCTGGTACCGTGGGATCACTTATGAATTTTACCTGAAATGAGCATCATTTATAATTTATGTATGAGTATTTGTGGCTGAGCTCCTGTATAATGATCCTATAATGGGATTAGGTCCATCCATTTTAATTTTTCCATGTAAGGGCTCATTTCCTCATTCATTCATTACGTTTGAAATTGCTCATTTAAAGCTAAACAGGACAGAGTTCTGACACTGAATCACTCTCATTGTCAAGCTGCTACATTTGAATAATGCAGTCTTGATTTGCAGGTTTTTACAGGTCACAATGAGCCAGCCCACAGTGGGACACACACGCACACCACAGACTGTGATCCATGAACTCTAAATTTGTTGTGTGTAAACAAAACAATGTTTCGGCGCCTTGGTGGCTCACATGGTAGAGCGCGTACCACATAGGCTCAGTCCTAACCGCAGCGGCCATTGTTTCCAGTCTGACCTCAGACCCTTTACTGCACGTCATCCCCTCTCTCTCTCTTTCTTTCCCTGAATTTCCTCTCTCACTGTACTGTCTGAATAAAAGCAAAAATGCCCGAAAATATAACTTTAAAAAAAACAACAAAAAAAAACTAAACAAAGTTTGTCGGTGTGTGTGGAGTTAGATTGACTTTGAGATATTGACTTGTTGCTGTAATGTAAATGAGATATGTGTATATGTGAGAACCATCTTTGAGCTGGCCTGTGCCTGTGTGCAAACAGTGAGTTTAATTTCAAGACATTACGTAAAACGTTTCTCATATCACACAACTGAAAGGAAGACAGAAAGTACCTGAAACGAGTTGAAGAACAGCTCACAGTACATGCGGACCTCCCAGCTCAGCCCCTCAAATGTATGAGGCATCCCCACAAAGATGATGTAGTGGATGCCAAACACAAGCACTAGCACAAGGGTGGACTTTGCCAGTTTCCTGTGGACACGGACACACACACACACACACACACACACACACACACACACGCAGAGTACAGTTAGAAGTAGTAAAACTGAAATTGTGTCACAAAAATGCAGAGCAACCAAGCGCTTTCCAGTTGATGGTGGTAATAGAACATTTATAGATGACAACTGCTGTTTAAACTAAAAAGAAGGAGGAGGAGGAGGAGAAAAAGAATAAACAAATGAAGATGAAGAAGAAGATGAAGCAGATGAAGACGCAAAACCAGAAGAAGAAGAAGAAGAAGAAGAAGCAGCATTAGAAGCAGAAGAAGAAGAAGCAGAAGAAGCAGAATAAGAAAATTTGATCCTGTTGCAACCATATTGGACCTGACAAGAGTCAAGATTGGCCTGTAAACAACACAAGTAAATGGATGAAAAGCATTTCTCAACTGATTTTTTGTATTCAAGGGTTTATGACTGTGACTATGCAGAGTCACAAGGTTTTGTCTGCAGTTACTTAATCAATAAAAAATTATCTTGATAGTTAAGGCTACAGTCACTGTTCCATAAAGACGGAGTGTGTATCAACATTCGGCTTACATAAACTCAATTACTTATGTGATGAAGAATTCACATAAGTAAATCACAGTCATAAGGAACTGTAAAAACTCAAGCATGCATTTGACTTATTTCCTTGGTTAATACAGAGATGAGGAGACGTCCCTACATAATTAAAACTCTTCCTCAGTTGACTGAGAATGTCAATGCAGGACGTGATCAGACTGTGACAGCAAGAACAGACCGTCGACAATTACATAGCGAAAGATATTATAGTAGGGTTGCAGTGGATAAACCCCTAATTACATACATGAATGCACATTTGAGAGTTCAGTGGTGCAAAAATAACTGGCACTGGATATGGAAAAAAAGTAATGTGGTCAGATGATTCATTCTGCACCATGTTCTCCACAAGTGGGTGAGTGCATGTGTGGCGTACAGCAAGAGAACAGTACAGGCCTGAATGCTTGACCTCTGCAGTGAGGAGATCGGGTGGCTCTGTTATGTACAGTATGTCAGCAAAATGTCCCCCATAGAATGGTTTGGGTCCAATTGTCCCTTTAGAGGGAATGGTCACTGCAAATCAGTTCAACGTTATTCTGGGTGATCACCTTTATCCTAAGATGAAACATTTCTATCCTGATAGGAGTGGGCTCTTCCGAGATGACAATGCCTCCAATCATAGGGCACGAGGGGTCAGCCAATGGTTTGATGAGTATGAAAATGATGTGAATCATATGCTGTGGCCCTCAGTCACCAGATCTCAACCCAGCTGAACACCTCGGGGATGTTAGACAGTACTCTACCATCATCAAAGCACCAAATGAGGGAATATGTTTTGAAAGAATGGGTTTATTTGTGCATTGTGTTTTACGAGTTACCTAACTTGACATTTGTTTGCCAATAGTTTTGAGACTCCATAAATGTATTTTAATACTGCAGATATTGATATTGACAATGTTGTTGGTTGCCAAGCTCACATTCCTTCCACAGATTGAGCTGAGTCAGGCTTTCACATTTGTCCTTGAGGGAATATTAATTTGAAAAGAACTTACTCCGCTTCCTCAGCGCTGTAACTACTAGAGTGCAAGACTGAAGCGCAGTGCGATTTTTATCAGCCCACTATTCAGGCTTAATGTTAAGGGAACCGACATTATGAATTCTGCAAACAAAGTCGGGGTCTCTGTTTCCCCTAAGCATGTCACAGCTTTTTTCATATCTTGCTGACTTCAGTCAGAATCCAGTCAGCGAACTTTCACATCTATATCAAGTGACAGATGTTTGATTTTTTTTCTGTAAGATCGCTTTTTCTTCAGGGACTATTTCCTGGTGGAGACATATCCTGTATCCTGTATAGGATTACAAATCCTATGTAATCCTGTAAAGCATTATATATGCTGCTTTGTGAGCTTTACTCCACAGCTGTGTGTACTTCTTAAACGTGAAATATCTTTCAGCCCTTACAAACAAACTTTTTCAAGCAATACCTTAGCATTACAAACACACAATGGTAAACTTGACGTATATCTACCAGGCTGATTTACATGCATCTACGTACATCTCCCTCATGTTCAAACACAAGTCTCAGTGCCGGTGCCTCACAAGCATCAACCAAGACTTTTTCTTTTGAACACCATGTGAACTGGCAGCAGCTCGGGGCATGCAACCGACCTAATGGAGGTGAAGATTCCTTATTGGAAAAGCAGCTAGTGTGTTTTCATTTACCTTTGTCAGCAGAGAGAATTTAAATATCTACACTGCCTTATAATTCAGATGAGGACGTCATCTCTCAATTCAGTGTTTCATGTGACCCATCCTGGGAGGAGAGGGGATATTTGGTAACCTCTATTCAGACTCTGCTGGGGATGTAGAGTCCTGTGTACAGCCCAGGAAAATGGAACAACAACATCTCTAGGCAATGAGAATTCACTGGTAGTAATTCACTGGAGATTACCATCCTCCTCACAGGAGTAATTTGGAAAACAGTAGCAAACCAGATCCAAATGATGAACTTAAAACAACCAGAGAGGAGAACGTACACATCCATTCCACATATTTGCTTCCAGTCACTGAACAGAATTGCAAAAATTCTTCTCTACCTTTATACAGTACATGCCTTCTGACAGAGGTGCTCCCTTCCATTGCAACAGTAAGACTATGTGGCAGCTCTAAATTGTCACATGACTCCCTCTCCTCGCATTTAAAAAAAAACAAACAGGGAATCAGCCTTGGTAAAACTGGTCCATCCTTTAGCAATTACATTTTTCTTTTACTTTAGTTTAACATTTAATGCAACTTTGTTTTGGCTCATGTTTATTAAAAAGATGAATAAGTTGGAGGCAGGTAAGTAAACATACCACTAGATATCTTTGTAAATAAAAAGAATGTTTGTAAGTGACTCGTGATTCGGTTCGCAGATAGTGATTCTACCTACAAACACTGCGAAATTATCTTTTGGCAAAATCACCCACCCCAACAGTTACTATCACTCTTCCTGCTTCACTGCTCCCCTTGCTTTCTCTTCTTTGGTGCCCTAGCTTCACTTAGATTTTTTGATGTATAAAACATGTTGTATTTGGCTTACATTCAACTTCCAACATGGCTTCCACTTTGTTGCACCTGATCACCATCATCTTTTCTGACTAATAGTCTCCTGATCTCCACAAAACTACCTCGCTCGCAGCAATCAAAATGTTACTCTTCTTGGATAATACGCTGTAATCATGTTTTTATCCAATGCCAGCATCAGCAGGGGAGAATAATAGTGATAATTGCAGATGTGAAAATGCTAAAACACATCATGTTTTGCATATGTGTGTGTGTGTGTGTGTGTGTGTGTGTGTGTGTGTGTGTGTGTGTGTGTGTGTGTGCGCGCGCATTTTTTTTTTTTTTTTTGTAGCAACACCACAGCAAACATCGAGAAGGCCCAACATCCCACCCCCCTACGCAGACCACCCCACTCCTGCCCTCACAATTTTTTACTAAGGCACCACTGAAAGCATGCTATCCTCCTGCGTCATTTCCTGGTTTGGTAAACGGGAGAGAGTGGAAGAAAGACACAAACTAAACAGTTCATTGGTGCCTTGCTGCCATCCTTGTTGAACATACCACCAATGCTGCATTTGCAGGACCTTGGGCATCATCAGTGACCCCCTCCCACCCTCCCCACAGGCTGTTTTCCCCCATGCAGTCACACAGTAAAAGGTCCAGGATCATCTGCTTAGACTGCTGGTTAGACTCCAGTATAAAAAACACTGACCTTGTTGGGACCAGTAATCCTCATGAGGACCGAAGCCCAGTCTTGATGAGGCAAAACCTTACTTCTGAGTTCTTTAAATTTAGGATTAGGTATGAAAGAAAGTCAGTGCAATAGCTACCCAAACTTCTTTTGTGTTTCCTTGTTTTCCCTTGTGTCTCCCCTCCCCTCTTGTCTGTGTGTGTGTGTGTGTGTGTGTGTGTGTGTGTGTGTGTGTTGTTCATTTGCTCATTTGCATGAAATATGCATGTGTGCTGTATGTACAAGTGAGAATTTGCACATCTAATTTGACAAAGGGATTCGGATACAAATGTAACACATGAAGCACACCTCATAAACGACTACGTTCACAAAAAGGCGGGTAAATATGAAGATGCTTATTCTAAGCTGAAAGGCTGGTGATATTTTGCATTTGTGAGTTTCACAACAATCCAATGAAGAAATGAAAAACCAACTATGAATTGATTGGAGAAGCTAATGTTTGTATCAAAACACAGATTTAACTTATTCCTTTGGATAGGGCTCTGTTGTTGTCCAAAATCTATTAAAAACACATCAGTGAGCCACACCGTTGCCCTGGGTGACATGTTCCTTCATTGTGATAAACAATTTATTGTGAGTCAGTCCCACTGTGCTGCGACAACACTCGTTATCTGACTAATTCCGCCTTTGCAAATAGTCCTCAATACATGTAGCACTTACTTCTGTGTGAGGGGATGTTTCCTGGACTCTATATTCACCAGCTATTTGAGGAAATGAATGAGCCTTTTTTAAAAGTTGAACTACTGTATTTTCAACAAGTTCAAGTTCAACAGTTTATGTCTTCGGCAGAAAGTAGTGGGTTTGATGCCGAGAGCCACAGACAGGAGCAGGGGAGTCAGACAGTATTGACAAATGGCCTCAGCATTGTTGATTTTGGTTTGGCAATTAAACTGCGGTTCACAAATGTTACATCTGAATCAAGCTGAACTGTAGGATATCATATTCAGAGGCACCTGTCAGCCTAAACATGCAGTGAATGCCGGTCGATGGCAATGGCTGTATATGTGTGATCAGCACATGATCTACAACAAACTCCATCTCTGGACATACAACGAATGGCTGGTGTCAGTTCAGTACCTGTACTGTTTTCTGGTGTCGTATCTCCCTGCATTTGTCTCTCGAATTTTGGTGGCCAGCACTCGCACAATGTTCACAAACAAGACAAAGTTGAGCTGAAATAGAAGAAAAGAGATGGAAAATTCTTTATTTGTGCAATAGATGTAAGATACCTCACTTCCTGTTGCTGTAACTGACAATTTAAAGAAAAAGAAATAGGAAAATCATTTTAAATGATGTGTGAACCAACAAACCGATCAAAATATGAACTGTGTTTTCAATTAAAGAGCAACAATTATACAGAATTGTAAACCAGATTGACATATTAATGACTACTAACTATACTAACAGTGTATCTAACTTTCTAAGACATCTTTTGTATCACAAGGCGGGATAAAGTGAGTATTGAGTGCCTGCAGACAACAGTAAAAAAAGAAAAGAACAGCTTGCACACATGCCTTTTTTTGCCAAGTTCTGGGATTTCTTCTCAAAGACTTTAATGAGACTTGGGCTGAGTAATTTGAAAGATGCAAATTACATCTTATGTTTTTCGTAGCTAAAGACTTGCACACTTAAATCTACATCATACTTTCAATCCTATGTGCCACTTGGATGAGACTGAATGAGAATATAGTGACGTATACAGCTCCAGAATACACATGCAACCTGCCAAGACCAACAGCACCCTGTATGCAGATATAATCCAGGACATGAAAGAGTGTCTTTGATTTCAAATACTTCACGAAATCTTCCTCTTTGTATATATTTGACGCGAGTGTCAGTGAATTCTGTTCATGTTAAATCTCCTCCTCATCTTACTCTCGTTATTAACATAAATAATTAAGACAAAAATAAAAATGGATTATTCTGACCTGCTTGAAAGGAAATGCATCACTTTAATGAGACAGTGCCATCTGGAAAACCTCACCCTGAAAACCCTGAAAATATGTCACTTTGTTTGACGAGATGAAAGAGTAGCTATGTATTGTGATATTTACAGAAATATTGTTCATCAAGGACAGTGATGACTATTAATGCCATCATTCCAGTGGCATAATCACATCTTTCTTAATAAAATCGAATCACAAACTTAACACTTGACACACCAAAGGTTATTAGATGCCTCCTCTAATTATCTATTAATATATCACTATGTGACAGGCGTTTGGCGAGTAATTTGTGGTGATGCCTGTCTGTGTGTGTAAATGTTTTTACATTTACTGGGAGCAGTAGCAAACCGAAGAGGAGATATAAAAATCACATAAATTGTACATTAAAATTCTTCAATAAGACTCAATTTCTTATCTTGAGGAGCTTAAAATGCACGCAAGCAAACACACACACAGACACACACACACACACACACACACACACACACACACACACACACACACACACACACACACACACACACACACACACACACACACACACACACACACACACACCACACACACGCACATCTCAACTTGAATTTTTCCTCCATGTGTATTTGAAAGCTGCCAAAAGTACAGAAACAAGAATCTACTGTTGGTGCTATAACATCAACTATTGATGCATAACCAACATTTATAATAATGTAACGCACCTGTCCAGCCACCCCTGTGCGGATGTGAAAGTGCTGTGTTGAAGAGACAATTAAAAACAGCAGGATTTACCTGCTGGCCTATGAATTAAATAACAAAACTCAATGATTCTGCGCATTGTAATGAGAAATGCATCATTAATAAAAATCTGCACAGCAAAAGCGGTATTTTGGCGAGAAAATGTAGCACCAAATACCAAAGTACCAGTTGCTCCATCTGTTGCCTTCCCTCCTCAGTCCTTTAATTGTTTTCAGGCCACTCAGGATGCGCTCAAAACAAGAAGATTTCAGTAATTATGGAGATTTAGAAAATTGATTTCAGTTTTTGTGATCCTCACAGCAAAACACTGCATGAACTCCTTTATCTTCCCTTTCCTTAATGTGTGCTTTTATAGCAGGCTCCAACACTAAAAGACGGAGAGAGAGAGAGAGGGTGAGAGCCTTGTTGTTAATCCTTATTGATTTTCATGATTTGCATTGACGACAAATGCTATTGCTCCAAGCCAAAACGCTCATTTGAATTTGAATTAGAGGAATGCAGACAGTGACAACAGCATGTTCTACATATTCATCACTAAACACTTGCTGATATACAGCTAAATCTGTACACTTAAGAGTATCACGTTTGAAAGTCATGTATGCATCTTTAGTAGAACGAAAACAATGTTCTCATATAAAGAATCATATCGGCATAATGTCTCCCAGTATCAGACAAGGAAAGTCAGACTCAGCCTTGATTTGTCCACCCTGCTCCTCTCAGTGTGTTTGTTAGTGTATCTTTCTTTGAGTTAATTAAGCTCAGAATTTGTTCACAAATACACACACATACAACACACCTACATATCTTTTTTAGCTGGTTACTACATGAAGACCTATGTTTGTTTGTCTCAATGAAGGAAAATACTTAAGGGATGCTGTTTGCAATTGCCTATTTTGTTGCAGATAGTACTACGGGCAGAGGCATCTTTGAAGCTGTGTTTACACAGTTTTCTATTACTTATAAATTCCCAGGAGAGAACAGCACTGAAAGCAACCAATAAATTCAAATCCTGCACTTTGCGACCTATGTATACAATACATAATTGTCACAGCTAAAAGTAATGCAACAGTCTTGCACAAAATCCTCCTTCGTGAAGGTTAAAATATTCAGCTTTATTCAAATTGTTTCAGAGGTGTTGATTCAACTGTATGATCAGTTTGGATGATGTAGTGTGTGGTGCTGTTGAGCTCTATTACATTATATAGAGAGGTGTTTCTGTTATTAAGCCTAACTTTACTGGTATCAGTGGAGTGGCAAAAATTATAGAAACACCTGGACACCACGGCTAGTGTGCATGGACTTTATATAGCAGTGGTTTTAGTGATGGTGTATCTATTTCAAATATTGGTTATCGGCCTAATTGATTACTAATAATCTTTATCCGAATCGTCCCTAAAAAAGTTTATCGGTCAATCCTTAATTATTAGCAGCTAAGTTATTTTTGTAAAAAATATACTACAGGTCTGATATTCTGGCAGCCCTCCACCCATTTCGTTTTGTCTTTTTTTGTCTGCTTGTTTTCTTCTTTAGTTCTGTTTTGCATCCCGTTTTTGTGTGATTCTCCTGGCAGACAGGGGAAGAGTCCTCTCTGTTTGTGAATTGTACTGGGTGCTTTGTCTATTGTGTTTATTGTGGGTGTGTTTGTACTAAGAAAATCATTTTAAAAAACTGTAAAAACAGTAGCTACATATTGAGAATTAACTTTCTTTAGTAACCTTAAATAATCAACAGGTTAGCTAGCTAACCTGTAGTCACCCCCTCTGCAATACTGATATTAAATGCAATAGTGATGGTCAGAATATTGTGCTGAACTGTTGAACTGTGTTTTCTATGTCTTCTTTTTCCTGAACTGACAATTTTCTCAGGTAAGATCTTAGTATAACATCATTACATTGTGTGAGAAAGGCTTCCTGCAGCTTCTTTAGGGCAGCTGTGCCTCAGGAGGTAGAGTGAATCCCTGGACAAGCTACTGTTCCCCAAATTGCCCCTGATGGCTACCATCAGTGTATGAGTGTGTATGGGAGTCACGTATGAAAATGTCATGTATTGTAAGGTGCTCTAAAACTAGAAAAACACTATATAAGTGCAATCCGTTTACAATTATGTATAATTTTATCCACAGCAAGGAAACATTGCAAGCAAGTAGTCAGAGTCAGAAGAGACAGCAGCTACTGGAGGAAGGCATTTTTTTTAAATTCCTCTATATATCTGATCTATATGGAAAATAACTTCGATGAATTTAAACTACGCTGCCATGGCAGTGTGAAACTGCCCTTTATAAAAGATTTATGCATAACACCCCTAATGTGAAAAGTGGTTATGTTAGCTGAGTGTAAGCTGAGAGAGGAAGCTGGCAAGTTGAGACCCGTAGAGTCAAAATAGCCACATTTATGGTTAACACTTCAGTCATCATTGTCAGGTACAACTGAGTAAAAGACAATGACTTCATATTTTAGTTTTGAAGATGTTTCACACCTCGTCCATCAGGCTTTATCAGTTGGGGTCAGATGAAACATAAAGTCTCTCGTCTACAATGAATTCAGTAAAAATAACAAAAAAAAACTGGCAGTTGCTGAAAGCTGAGGCACAGTAGGTCTAGGAAACAGCTTGTAATCATACAACCACTGTGCAACAATCTGTTGCACATTAGTACAAATCACTGTAAGGCATGAAAGCTGACTGCCTAGTAACACAAAAGACAATCAGCTACTTACATCAACTTTACCCAATTATTAAGTAATTTTATAAATGATGACCACTGTCATCTCAGAAGGCATCTTAAGCTCCTTTTCCATCACTAGGCTTTCACCTGCTTTAACAAAATGCCATGTTGTTAATTCATAATGATTTTAAAATGTTATAATGTGTTCCTGCTGTGACAATGAATAATAAGTACTACTCAAAATAATCAGAATGGCAGGCAGGCTTTTTAGGCGTAGGTCCTGTGAAGTCAAAATAATGCTTGATGTTGGCGAGCTTACTGTGGTGTCAGCAAATATATGAGAAGTCATACAGAGAGCTGTTTGGTCCTAGACACGACACAGCCATATTCATTTTGATACACTTCAACTCCCGCTTGGAATATGTGATTTTGAGTGAGGAAGGGAAGTTTATATAAAGAGTGGATACTCTAACTCAGACTCACATATATAAAAGTCCCGTTTCAGGATGACTGGCCGTGTTCAAAAGTAGTTCATTCTTACTTCTTACAGTCATCAGTAAGAGCTGCAAATACCTATGCAACTTCTTAAACTGCACTCGCATTTCGAGATAGCAAATTCTGTATGTCACATTGACACTCTTACCCCAATGGCTGTCAGGATGGGAACTTGGTAGATCCACTTAATGTTACCAGCACTCAACTCCCAACATCTGCAGTTCACACAGAGAGGAGAGGACAGGATAACGTTAGAGAAGTAGGAAAAGGAAGGAGCAAAGCAAAGAAGAAGATGGCTCCTATTATCCAAAAGACGTCTGGAGGTGCAGTGAAAGATGAGACAGACTGAGAAGTAAATTGGCACCGAATAAACAATTAAGTTCAGCGTGAAGGAAAAAAAGGAGTTTAGGTGTTATATTTTGGTTAGAATATAATCAGGGAGAAGGATCACAGAGAGGACACAAGAAAAGCAGGGACAGAATAAGAACTGGAAAACAGATGTAAACATAGGCAGAATGAGGGGAACTTAAAGATGGACAAAAAAAGCAGCATTTACATAATTCTTAAAGGGCCGAATTCTAAATGGCAAATGCAAAAGGGAGGAAGTAAAACAACAAAATAAAAGAACACATCTAATATCCTGTGTTTTGGAGCTTAATATCTGTTTTCAGTTGTCTTTTTCCCCTTTCCTCTGATAATTTAAATTTGCGGGTTTTTACATTTTATGTTCAAATGACCCATTTTATGTTTTGATCATTTTTCATCTTAAATTTCCATTCTCAATTTAACCTTAGTGTTTTGATTTTTTATTTCAGGTGTTCAATGTCACTTTCTCTTTCCAAACTGGTGAAATTATGTCACAACATGGATGTAATTTCTGAAATTTGCCTGAATGGGGGTAATGGGCGTCTAAGAACATTACACATAGAAACTTCCTGAATTTTGGTTGCTAGTATTCCCTAAATATACAGGTGAGTGCAAATTGACCTCTGCTGTACTGCCAGGAAAACAACAGCACTCTATTTTCTCTTATGCAGGGTGCTGTTTACAGAGCAAATACAGTAATTCCCCTAAGCCCTGTGGTGGTTTATCTGAATACAAACAAAGCTACAGAAATGCACGTAAGCATCAAATAAATACTACGGCTTAGAATATATAATATGCCCACAAGCAGACAAAAGGTCTCACCAATGGGCAAGTTATAACTTGGGGTAATCAGCTTCATAGAAAGCTTTGGTCCAGTTTTATACATCAATTGTGGAAAGTGGGCTATCTGTATTACAGTGGCATAATCTGAATACTAGAGAAAATGCAATAACTGGCTTCTTCTCTCTTTATTTGATTTATAAAGTTCAGCTTCAGTAGAAGACTCTGAATATTGTGAGGGGTGATTCATTCAGAACATTCATGTTTTAAATCTGAGTGGCTTAAAGGAAGAACGTTGAGCTGATTCTTTAATATATCCATATAACTTCTTCCAGACATAGTGCACAAAGCTTAAGACATGGGTGAAGAAAACCTTCATTTTGATGGTCACTAGAAAATAAATAAATAAATGTATATTTTAACTGCTGTGACAGATAACTGCTCAACACTGACCCAGAATGGCTTCAGAAAAATTTCCACTGTGAATACCCAATGATACAACTCAATATTTGGCAGGTTGAACCCTGCTTTTTCTTTTGGTGTTTGCAGAGTTGCAAGCCTGAAACATGCAATCTTACCATTACATATAAAATTAGTTAAAGATTAACTTGATTGTAAAAATTAACAGGCAAAATATTTAACACATAATATAGTTATAGAGTTTGCCATTTTATGCCAGATAGAGGTTAAGACCATAACATCTTTCAAATATATTTGTTTTCAATTTTCGCAAGAAAAGAATAGTTTTGTTGTATTATTTAAATTAAGAGGAAATGTAATGTTAGATAAGTAATTTCATTTTACAAGAACTTCATATTACAGTCTGGCTTAGTTCATGGTTCACAAAGAAAATTGTGAGCACATCACTTTATAACCTGAGAAAGAAGAGAAAATATGATGCACTGAAGAGTCTTGAGTAGTTGTTGTGGCTGTGTAAGGAACAAGACAACATCATCTGCATACAAGAAGTGAGCCTTGTTTGCTATGGTGATACCATGTATGTTTTTGTCATCTCTTAGAGCAATAGCAAGGGATTCAAGGGCCACAACAGACAGCAGAGGGGAAGAGAGCATCACTGTCTGATCCTGTTATATATACATATATACTGTATATTCTGTATATATCCTGCTCAGCCTCCTGGGAAAAGCCTATGCCAGGGTGCTGGACAGGAGGCTCCGGCCAACTGTTGAACCTCAGATTCAGGAGGAGCAATGTGGATTCCCTCCTGGCAGTTAACCAACTCTTTACCCTGGCAATAATACTCCAGGGGTCATAGGAGGCCTACGACAGGGTCCCTCAGGGGATCTCATTGGGGGCTATGGAGTTCTGGGGGCCATTGCTATGAGCCATCCGGTATAAACAAAGTGAGAGTTAGCATGCACGGGGGCTGTTTGCTGCCGAGTGTGAAGCAGTTGGAGCCACGGTTCTCTGCTGGAAAATGGTGGATTGCTCTCTTTGGGCTGGGTTGGAGTTTCTGCCCCAAATGAAGGTTACTCTTTCACAAGTAAGGGTAGGATGGGAGATTGACAGGTGGATTGGTGCAGTAAAGCGGGCATTTACCAGTCCGTTGGGGTGAAGAGGGACCTGAGCCGGAAGGCAAAGCTCTCGATATACCAGTCAATCTTCGTCTGCTTATGACCCTCACCTAGGGTCATAAGCTTTGGGTAATGACTGAAAGAATGAGATGACAATACAAGCAGCTGAAATTAGTGTCCTCTGCAGGGTGGTTGGGCTCAGCCATAGAGATACAGTAAGGAGCATTGATATTTGGAGGGAGCTCAGAGTAGAGCCACTGCTCTTTTGTGTCGAAAGGAGCCAGTTGAGGTGGTTTGGGCATTTCATTAGGATGCCTCCTGTGCGCCCTCCATAGACCCAGAACACACTGAAGGGATTATATATCTCATCTGGCTTGGGAACACCTCAAGATCCCCCAGGATGACCGAAAAACTTTGCTGGGGAGACGGATAGCTGGAATACTTAGCTTGACCTGCTGCCACCATGATCTGACCCTGGATAAGGGGTATAAAATTGATGTATGGATGTGATGTGTGGATCTGATGTCTGACCATAGATCAGGGGTGGTGGTGAAGCAGTGCACATTTTTGCACTCAGAATAAAGCTAGGGAAGCAATGTGAAAGAAATGGTTGCTGTATATTCTTCATCTTATCTTCAACCTGTCAGTGTTTTGTAGGTTTATTTTATGTGTACTGAGTGTATTGCAGGCAATTTCCACTACATAATTGGAGGTTCCATTGAGTTTTCTAGCCTGCACGCAGTTTCTAAGGTAGCCTGATCAAGGACTGAGGAAACATAATTCCCAGGGGGATTTGCCTAAAGGGAGTAAAAATCTATTTCTCTTGCATAAAAAGGGAGGGGCAGTAACACCTTGCCTATGCAGTTTCAGTTTCAGTAGTGTTGCCAATGTGGAGAGTCACTACAATACGCTTTGATCAGTTTTTGAAAAGGACTACACCCAATAATAAATGTTATCAGCAGTTACTGAGTGGCATCAGGAAATATTATTACATCAGAATATATGAAAATCAACACTTAACTCTGCAGTCAACACCGATTTTCTTGAAAATGATATTTTTGGCCATAAATTGACTAGAAACATTATTCTGAATTGCACTGCAAGCCAAATGCATGTGTACTTGTATTTCACTGTTCATCCAAATGTCAGCACAATTAAGCACTAATTATATGTTTTGTGTCTCTTTTCATGTTTAGCCTGTCCTTTAGAATTGTTGACCTTTTTCAAAACTTGGTGTCTATTTGATGTGAAAGAGGACCAGCAAATAAGCATAGTGTGACTTGCTCTCTCACCTTGCATCTGCTAGCATTGCCCTCACAATCGCCCAAACTGCCACGAAAACAGCTGGAACACCTGAAATTACACAAAACAAACAATGAGCCGTGCGGTCCCAGTGACGTCATATAGTTGTTTGTTTACCATAATTCATGGTCAAGGTCACATTTCACAGTTCCATTTCATTTCCTACACATCACTTCTCATCAACATATGAGCTAATAGCTGCAGCCTTTAAGGTCAAATGGCCCACTTTCATAGGCAGTGTCTATCAACAAACCAGACCCCATCATTAACTGCTTTGGGGGCTTTATGAAAATTATTGAAATGAGGAGAGGGGAAAATTTTACATTTCACTTTTTAAACATCAAAGCCCTCCCCAGAGCTATTACTGCTCTCACTGGATATAAGAATAAAGCTCACAGAGGCATGTATCATGGGTTTGGGATTTCTGGACCCAAAGGAAGAAACTAAACCAATGCAGAGCTGGTGCAGTTTATGGATTTATTAAAGAAAACACTGGAACAGGTGATGCATTAGCCAGGGCCGCTAACTCAGGATCAGACAAGACGTTGACTGGGACCCCCAATGCTGGAACAGATGATGCGTCAGCCAAGGCAGTCAACTCAGGAACAGACAGGATGTGGACCAGGAAGGCCGACTCGGAAGCAGGACAAGTCAAGACGTCGACCAAGTCTCCTGATGCAGGAACAAGCGAGAGATCAGCCAGGGCGGTGAACCCAGGAACAGATGAGTTCACCAGGACTCCTGACACTGGACCTGGGGACGAATCAGTTTGGGTGGTTGACTCAGAAACAGGTAAGGTGACGACCAGGATGCTGGGTAGCAGATAGTCTGGATAGCTGGACAGCTGAGGCTCATGGTCACTCAGCAGCTTGGGAACCTGTGGCTAAGGCACAGGCTTGTAGTTAAAAACCTGGAAAACTAGCTCAATGCTGGGAAACTATGGTAGTTGTGCAGGGCTAGAAAACAACCTCCATCTGTTGCAAGCCACATCCTTAAGGAAGTAATGTCTGGTCCCCCAACAAGGCGTTTCATACAAAGGAGAAAATTGGTATTTTGCCCTGACAGAGTTACTCCGTTTGGTGCAAACTTTGATCCTTATGACTCTGTAGACCATTTACATGCAAAAAAAACTATATAACACACTAATAGTAGTAAAAGAAAACTCAGAAAAGCATAATAGGTCCCCGTTAAATACACAAGGGAGGCAAGGGTAATTGAACACAGGTGACACATCAGGGCAGGACAGACAATCACAAAGGAGGGACAACTAGACAAAGACAGGAAGTGAAACATCCGACAGACTTACAAAGTAATAATTTCAAAATAAAACAGGAAATAATAAATATAAAGTCTATACCAAGAGTCCTTTCAGGGGCAGACTGCGACAGCATGATTGATATCTTCTGTATATTTGCTGGTGCATGGTCTCAATTATTTCTGTGCAGTTCCATACAAGCATCACATGCAGCATATGAAATGTATTTAAACGTGCACATGCATTGGTTTCTATGTAATTCTACACACTACCAGCATTTTGACACACATAATTGGACATTCAGACATCATTATAAACCTCTGTCTCATTCACCAGCACTGACCTGTGTCAGCTCTATAGAAAAGCAACACTTTCATCTCTTTCATTCTCCAGAACAGCACATCCCAGCCACTTTTGATTATTTCCTCTGTCTGCAGAGAGCTTCTATGTGTTCCATCGGTGTAAATGACACAGCACTACATGACCTAGGCAGTGCGTGTTGCACTTTACTGTAAACAAACAAACCTGTTCTACCAAAATGTAGACAATTCAGTATTCACACTTATTCGAATAAAGAAAAGAAGCACAACTTCCTAAAGAAACTTATAATTACATCATTAGTTTCTTTAAGTTGTGTGGGAATTTATTGATTCAACTGTCACTCTGCTTCTATCAATTTGTTCATTTATAAAAAAAAAACAATGCCAGATAATTATTATAAATTATCACTTTATGATTACTAAATGTTACTTACTATATTTAGATTTGTTTATCTCAGGTCCTGCAACAAAGGGGCTATTTGTAAGTTTCTGTCACATGTGGTTTGTTGCCGGGAGCACGTAGTTATGAATGTCACTAGTCAAGTGCTTAAGCCATCATTGGGTTAACAAGACAAGAGGTTATAATACGTCCTCTGAGCAGCGCTACATCTTAAGGGCAGATTGGAGGCCACAGTGAGTCGCTATCAGAAAGTGACGAGACAGACACATGAAGTTGAACTGGTTGAACTTGCTGAACTCGCAATCTTTCTTCTAGACTGTCAACAGCTGTTAATACTAACATTGGCTATGTAACAAGACTTACAAATAGCTCCTTAGGGGCCAAGAGGTTATAATACGCCCCCTGAGCAGCGCTACTTCAGGGCAGACGGTACGTTACAGTGACTCAATAACAGAAAGTGACGAGACAGTCCAATCGGGCCAGGGCTAGTTGGTTAGCATGCTAACTTCAATACAAGAAAAGAAGTGATAGAAATAGAAGCAACACAAAAGGGTTACTTTCCACCTCTGGAGACAATTCTGGGTGAGTAAAGGAGAACTCTCATGTTTTCTTCTAAACTGGTAAGTAAACAGCTATTAATGCTAATATTAGCTATGTAGCAATTGCAAAATGTATAAATAGCTCCTTTAAAGAGTCACAGCAATAACTTTGGGTAATCTTAGGAATAAACATTTATATGATGTTATCAATAGAATTGCAACAACAAAAATTAAAAGAGTCTCTAGGCAAATGGTACTGTGGAGAAATCCTTTAGCCAAAGCGATGGCTCTGAGTGATGTGGCCCACAGCTGTAAAAAGAGACTTCATATTCACAGTTCAGAAATGTGACAGAAATTGTTTTTAAAAGATTAATCAACCTCTGAAATCAAACAAGGAATAAAAACTGCATTTTATCAAAGCCTGCTGAATACCATTTTAAGCAGAAGTGATTGCATAAGATAGTGATTATTACCTCTATCATCCCCCTAAGTGCCTAATTTAAATCTGGCAGTTTAATTACAGTAAACATGATCAATCAATGAAACGTTAAATGGGTGATAAGTGTCCCCCCACCTTTTCAACATATCCTCTGCTCATTTGAAATGAATGTTGTATCTTATCTGTAGCTGAAAGAAGGAGAAAATAGTGAAAAGAAAGACAGAGAGGTTGACCGAGCTTTCTGGGAGTGTGAGAAGAGAGGAAAGTGCTGGGATGTGACCATAATCTCACAGTGGTGACTCAGTTACTTCACTGGAACAGCTATGGGGTTGTATTTATTGTTCATTGTTCAGCTACTGATGGAAAATAAGAGCATGTTTGCCCATTTAACCAGCTAGTCAAGGGAATGGATTTGGCATCCCATTTAAAGCAGTGTTTTTTTCTAACCTTTGGTCTTCTGCCATTTCTGTGAATGTGAACAAATAAATAATTGTTTTTAATAACACATCCATGTCAGAATGGTTACATTATTGTTGCCAGTGTGTTCAGGGCGACTGTTTTGAAAGTGACTTGTAGTTTCTCCACATTACAGCGAAATCTATCAGACATACTGTACCTTTTTGGCAATGTTTTTTCACCCAGTAGGAAATGTTCCTCCTTTTATTATCGGCTGGTTTTACAGTATCAAGGCAAAGTAGTATAAAATGTGTGCTGCAAAAAAAAAAAGTAGGATCTTAGGCCGCCAGGAAGAAAATGCATGGCTGGGTGGGTGAATCATTTGTCAAAAGGTGTAAACCATCTTATGTGTGTCACATATGAAAAGGAAACTGCCACACAAAGAAAGTTTAAAGTTACTTTGTAGAATTCTAACTACTGTTACTGCTATGGAGCAATGTTTTGGTGGAACGTTTTGTCTGTTCTGATGGAAGCACAGAAGGATGCGTGGCTGAAGTCACACACAACCCTGCCATTGGTTTCATAAAAAGGAATGTGCAAATGTTTTATGAGAAAACAAATGCAGTGATCAGATTTGTTAGACCTCAAAGATTCACACAATACATTATAGTGAATAACACTGAATGTAAAAGCAAACCTTGACCAAAATCAGACATGTTACAGACTGTTAAAAGTCACGCTGCACCTGTTTTACTCTTTTTTTCCTACATTTATAAACATTTAAAACGAGCAAGCTAAGAGGTCAACGTATGTTAGATTGTGCTCATTTTGTGGATGTCAGTATAGATGCTTGTATGTGTCAGCGTGTGTGTGTCTAAGTCAGGAAGGAATGATGCTGCTGCAGAGTGGTGTGTTTGTGTATCTAAAATACAGTAGTGAATAAATTTAATTAAACGACTACTGATTAAATCGCTAAATAAATTCTGTATCTGCATTTCCCCCTGTAGGTAAACTTGACACCCCACTGGTGTGGGACCAAAAGAGCAAAAAGAAAATCAGCAGGGACGTCAAGAAATCAGTTGAATAGTTACTATGTTAGACCTGAGCAGAGGTCTTTCACACAACTCTTAATTTACAGATCATAGTTTCATGATGGAGAGACATATCTATCTCAAAGACAATCCATCTCAAATCAGCGTATCTGTTTTCCAGTTATCACACACCAACAATGTTTGACTAAGCATGGAAGCAGCGAGCCTAACATAGCAATGACTTAATCCATACTTAGGCTGGGAACACACTGGCTGCATGGCGTGTGCATGGCGGCTGAGAAACGTCTTGGTTTTCAGGGTTAGAGGGGGCACACTGCCTGCATTGTGTGATCTAGAGATTCGGCATCTTGTTTATTTTTCACACAACACGTGCGGTTCCCAGTAAAGACATCATACCAGCATTTACCATTTATAAATACAAAGCTGGCAGCATCAGACATGCAGTCCATGTGAACTCGCAAGCTTGCATGTATGTGCAACTGCAACACAGCCGCCATGCACACTCAACGCAGGCACTGTCTTCCTGGTGTTAATGCAAGACAATTATTCTAAATGTGTATAATTTGTGTCGTGCATCATAACCCTTTTTCATTCTTAAGAACAGTTCAGTTTTATACGTAACTCATAACAAAATGTTCTAAAACCCTGTCTTTAATCTGCCGGTTTATTTTTGGATACATGGTGTTTCAGAATATCATAGATGCCTTCAAAAAAGTACATTTAACATAAAGATAATTCATTCTGTTTGAGTTGTAAAACGCTGATCCTAAGGTAATTTCATTTCTTCCAAAATGCAAGTGTAGCACTTTTGTAGAGACTTTTCATTTCTCCTATGCACCTCATATAACCAGAAAATATTAATGACCGCAGGGTAATTATATATGAGAAGGAAGCTGTTGTCACTGCTGTGTAATACATTTTCCTTAAAATATGGGTTTCTGCAATAAATGATTATGCATTGTATGGTATGTGTTAATGCATTGTATTGTCTGTATATTCAGTCACAATCTGACCTTGCAATTGTGGCTATAATGCAAGTGTGAGCTGCACATCTAAATCTTTCTGCATCAGCTGCATTTTTGCTCAAGTTATTGGAGGACTGTTAAGAGCAGATGGTTCAGTCATACTGAACCATGTCATAGGAGTCATGTGTGATCTGAGAAATATGTGTGTTTATTACTTACCCCATCCGATGAGTATGAAGCCCCAGAGGTATTTAGAGTCTGATCGGAAGGCCATGAAGATGAGGCTGTGAAGGTAGAGGCCTTCTACCAGGATCCAGTAGTAGTTGGTGGCCAGAAAATAGATGAAGAGCAGCACTGTCACCTTGCAGCCAATCTGATAACAAAACATTAAAACTTTTATCATGTCCGATTTGTACCTGCTATTATGCTGTTTATTTGTTCGCCTGTGTTAATACCTTATTGTGATCAGAGCACTTCACACATATTCTTACACCACAGGTGCCTCCGTGAGAGTAGACAATCTGATTACATTTTGTAACACCTTGCTGTATCAATTTGCACAACAATGAGGAGAAGTACACTACAGTGAAACTTTGAATACAAAGTTCATGCTAATTAAAGCCAGCAAATATTTTCAAATATATTGGCTTTTGGCCTATACATTAAACCACAAACACTGGTTTGGCCCACGGTAATTAATGATCTAATTTTAGAAATAAAAATACAATTCTCCATGAGTGCCTCACTCCTATCCATTATACATTATACTAATACTGATATGAGAAAAATATCATAAAGTCTTGGGTAGGTGCAACAGAATATACTGCTTGATATTATATCATAGGATAAATGAAAATAACATACTGTAAAAGCTTTTCACCTTCTTTGTAATTATCTATTTGAACACACAATCATGACTATATATAAAATAAATTACGAATTGCATTTTCTTTTGCAGTGTCTCAGTATTTAACAACACCAGTGTATCTCTGGCACTTGTGAGTAATACCCTGATATCACAAAGGAAATCCATCAATACACAAACTTCCACAGACACATTATATATGAGCTTTATGTGCATACCAAGTCTTAACTCAAGTCACTTTTTTAACTTTCAGTTTGCCTGAGCCTCCATGTCATAATCTATAATGCATAAAGCAGTCCATGTCAAGGCGTATTTTACTGTAGCTATAATGATTGATATTTAATATACACACGGTCAGTGTTACAGACAGTGTAAACCCAGTGTGTTTTTATTAATTGCAGAACTAACCGATTCACATTCTTCCAAATCAAATGCACCACTTTTACGCCACCAGTCACTGGATTTAAATTGTTTCAATCACCTCCACTATATATTGCCTGTTGCCCTTGACTGTTGCTTCACTGTGCAGAATGATGAATGTGCTGAGTTTGACACTACAAGGCTATTTTCACATTTATCTGCTGAAGGGGGGAAGTTCTCTGTGATTACTGATTAAATCCGAGTTTGAAGCATTTTAACTTCCTACTTCTGACTTACTTCTTACTTAATATTTTAGCTTTTTCAGTACTCCTATATTTGTACTTCCTTTTTGTCTGAACTCAACTAAAGAAATGATTATCATTCAAATGCAACATTCAGATCCCCTCAATTCATTCAATTCAAAAAAGTGACATTAACTAAAAGAGTGGCTTTAATTGAACTGAGTGCAGCAACAAACATGGACTCAGTGCCCTCAAGACTCACTCAGGCTCATGAATGAGGCTGAGTCACTGACTGAATTAGCTGTTAAATAAATGAGAAAAATAAGACAACTGGAAAACCCCAGTGTAACATCTGCTGTGCTGGTGTATTGTGAAAGAGAAACTGTTGCCTGTAGAGTTTTAAACATGAAAGTCTTTTCGCCCACAAAGGAGCCACAGTTTCAAGATTACGTCTTTCTTTTCACTCTCCTGATGCAACCAGCAGATGCTACACCAGTAGCTATGCACTTTATCACACACCCTGTAAAAAGTCACACAGTAAGTGGAATCATCAAGCTCATTTAATAAATAGACTTCCCAGCATGCATTGTTTGAGAGTTAAAACTCTTTGGAGTGATTGAGGTCTCCTTTTTTTCAATCCCTGCCTATGCACATTTTGAATAGAACAGAACAGCCTTGCCTGTTGTCTTTGTAATGGCTCTGGTACAAAATGGCTTCAGCAGCTGCAGCTGTAAGTTCGTCATGTCAAATGAAGAACTGGCTCTTTATACAAAGGCAAAATTCACACTAGTATTTTTTCATTTTAAAACAGCGTTTTAAAACAAAAACTAACTCACTCTCTGTCCAACAAGCATTTTAGCTCCGTATCAGAAATAATCTCTGCCCATACAATGATGAAAAGATTGTAGATTTCTCTGCTCGGAGGTGGAACTGTATCACATGAGTATAAGGCAGGCATGGTGGTGGAAAACATAGCTTGGAAGAGTCGTGACTGATATGACCCAAATCAGGGAGCCAATGTGAGTGTCTGCATCACCGTTTGCAAAAGTCTCATGTGAATAAATACTTGATTCAACTTAATGTCTATGAGTTTATTTAGCTTTTCTCAAGTTCACTTATGTCAGTTAGTTTCATATTTTCAAAACTCATAAAACAATGTTGAATTAACAATAAGATTGTATTGACTCAGCTAGAAAACTCTACAGGAACTAAATTGTGGTCAAGTTGCATAAACCTGTATTTGAGAAAGATTTATTTGTTTTCAATCATCAAACAAAATCCAACTTGCCATCTCAAATTTAGTCAACTTAAAATTTTAAAGCAGCGCGGACACAAACTTTTTCATGTTAAATAAATATAAAATATAAAAATTAATTTTTATATATATATTAAACAGTTTTTTTTTTTTTTTTTACAGTGAATGCCTTTCCTCATTTGGATGGAAGTGGAGAAACCATGCCTTACGGAGAAAAAAAACACTTATTTTATCTTGAGGGTATAAATTTGGCGAACACGTCTGACGAAAGCTAATCTGAAGGCAGCTAGTTGTTGATTCCATAGCATTATTCTACAGTTTTATAGAGAAAACAGTACAAGACAAAGAAAGTCCTCTGTGAAATCTCTTGCTTGTTAGGTGAATGTGAGCCTGAAAATCGCGTGTGGGTGAAACAGAGTAAACAGACTGAAGGGCAGACCCCCGGTTCCAGCCTCAGGACATCTGTTTATCATGCAAAGCTCACACCTCACAGTATACTGAAGGCCAGACTCACATTCAGTCATGAAAGGTGTTTATTAATAATCTTATTAATGACAATTTAATCTTAATGGTTATTTGCAACTGAGAAACCCCTCTAATTATTGTACCTCGATTCTGTATTTATGAACATGACAAAGCTATGCATGTGGTGTGTTTACATTTATAATAACACCTCTGTAGGGAATAGGTCTAGTCAGGTTTTAATGATTATAATTAAGAATACATAAGGCAAAGTAAAGTTTCACACTACTCAAGATTTGCTTGGTGGATTGATGCTAGAGGAATCGATGAGTACATTAAAAATAAATTTTGAACAAATTTTGTTCAGAAACGTGTGTAATTCCGTGTTACTGCGTTAGAGCATTTCTCCTTTTCCAAGATAATCCATCCAACTGATAGGTGTAGCATATCAAGATGCTGATTAGCATAATTACACCACAGGTGTGCCTTGGGCTGGTCACAATAAAAGCCCACTTTAAAATGCTCTCTTCAACGGCTATGTGAAGTTGCTGGATATTGGCAAGACTTGGATCTGCTATAGTATATGCAGATCCAGAGCATCTCTAACATGCTGAATGGGTGACATGTCTAATGAGTACGCAGCTTTAAGCTTCCAGGAATTGTGAAAATCAAGCTGCAACATGAGGCAATGGCGGCAGATGAATGGCACAACAATGGGCCTCGGGTATATCTGTGTGTGTGTGTGTGTGTATCTTTTGTGTGCTTTGAAAAAAGTCTTAGATCTTTTATTTCAACTCATGGAAAATGGGTGTAAAAACAAAAATGTTGCATTTATATTTTTGTTCAGTGTATTATTTTATTCTTCAGACAAATTGCTGAACAACTGAATTCAAGAATACAGGCAGGACTCTACTCGGTTTCAATGAGTCTGACTGGTAAACTTTGGGGGTCACTCTAACATGTTCAAAAGCAAGTTTCTGTAGTGAGACCACACAAAGCACTTAACAGCACCAACTCTACTCTTAATTCATGCCTAATGGCCAAAGGTATAGTTTCTGGCTGTGACAGTAAGCAAAAAAGATTAAAACAAGAAGGGCTGGTACTTACATACTGAGACTTGTCCAGTGATGCTATGCTAACTGTTTTTAAGTTGTCCAACAGGGCAGAGTCAAAGTCCTGCAATCCAGCACTGGAGTGGACGACTTTGTCCTTCACAAAGATGCTGACCGCTCGTAACATGAAGGAAACAAACAGGTGCATGTGGATGTAGTTTCTGGTGCAGTGAAGACGCCTGCCAAGAAAACAGTGATGAAACAGTGGTGATTATCAAATCGGTAATTAGAGCATTTGTGCAGGAGTTAAAATCACATAAATCACATTTATTTTAGTTCAGGTTGGCCTGAAGGAAAAAGAGTGAGAGAAGAGATTTCCCCGCTTGGACTGATGATGAGATGGAACTGTCACTGACAGAAACACAAGTATAAGGCGGTCATGGCTGTGGAAAACCCAGAATAAGGGAATATTACATATTACATATCAGCTTATGATTACAATGAACAGCAAACAACCAAGAGATATACATGTACAGGTCTACTACTTTTTTATACGTCCTAAGACACAAGACACCTAAAATCAAATAAAAACTAAAACCATGAGCAGTTCTTGATGTCTTTAAGCATGAACAGGATGTGGAGAACAGTGGGCTTCTTCAATGTATAACAAAAACACATTCATCTCTAATAGTACAATCAATATCATGAGAGAAACTGATCGACTGATCTAATGATTTTACTTCCACATTTTGGTATTAAAAATGATAAACCAACCATTTCATCTTCTATTACGTTCACATTTGCATCATTGTAAAAAAATCTCTGTTCCTGCCCATCCAGACTAAAACTATAACCCCAGAGTTTTCAAACTAAATGGGTCCAGAGGTATTTACAAAAGTCTCCATTTTAGTAGTAGAGTAGTGTGGATGCCAGGCATCAAACTGAGATCTAATTACATTAAGGACATTTATTTAAGTTCAGTTTAGCCAGAAAGCAAAACAGTGAGGCACGTTGTGAGGGATTTAGTGTGGGCCTCTTGATGATACGATCACTGATTGTAACAACAGTTCGATTCCAGCCAAAGGCTTCGATCTCATGTCATGCCCCTCTTCCCCCTGTTCTCTACTACAGAGGCCAATGAAGGAAAATCTTTGTAGGTGCCATTTCTCAGAAGATACAGCAAATCAATTTTGTACAACAACAACAGCAGCAGCATCTTGTACTGCAGGTCCATCTCTGCTCCAACAGGAGGCAGATGAAGCCTCAGTGGCACCTGCCTATTTCTGTCAGAGTGGAGAAACTGTCAATGCAGCACAAGCTTGTCCTGAAAATCACCCGCTTGTCGAGCTTCATGACACAGAGATTCAGTTTGAATTTTTTACTCCTACAGCAAACTTGTGGCGGGCAAGAAGTTGTCAGGGACCCACGTCATCTTAGGTATTATAGGGAGCCACATCACCTGGCTCTGGCAGTAACACGTTTTTTTCCTTGCAGAATTTTAAAACAGAAGCCAGCACAGCACTTCTATATCTGTCCCCCTCTTTCTGAGATCTGAAATGCAGTTTGTTGCTCTCGGTGACTGCAGAAGGAAACTGTCAAACAGTGGTCGTGGGTTGGCAGTTGTACTTTGGCTGAAGTGTTCCTCTGGACCACATATATCACCATTGTGTTTTCATTCTAAACAGTGCTAGTGTTATTGTTGTTGCTGCTGCTGATGTAGTTGAAGATGAGGATGATGCGTGGGCAATTTACTCAGCAGTAAAGGTTGGTCCATATGTTTGACTTAATCTAAAGTTACATGATTAGTTTCATCCTTAATCACTATTTTTTGATTTTGTTGTAGGATTTTGTTGTTTTTACTGATCTCATTGTGTTGCATTATCTATGTGATATCCCATAGTTGCTTAGCAATATAATAAGCTTATAATAAGGTTGATGTATTGTAGTTTTATAAGTAACGCTTCAAATTGGGTTATGTGCATTTTTTACAGTGACACTCTCTCTACAAAGAGACAGGGACACAAGCAGAGAGCAGGAGGAGCTCTGGGAGGATGAGGAAGATTTCTAAGTTGCTTTATGAAGTCAGAGCAGATATAAGACCTGAGTTTGTCAAAATGCATCTTGATGGCTCTTTGAAATTTTAACTGCAGCTGATCCAGAAAATATACTCTGTTTGAAGTTTCCCTATTTAAACATGCAGCTCTGATCACCTTCGGGACTTTCCTGTCTGCAAACTTAGATGTTGTTGACTTCACTTTCTATCTCTTCTGCTGAAATCCTGCAACCCACTCATGTTGTAAAAATGGTGGCATTCAAAGACAGTAGTTTCTTTTTACACAGAGTACCCATCAAGGAAGTACAAATTAACCATGACACCATGTTCACTATAATGGATTATCTTTTGGTATGTAAAAATGGGCAACACTGGTGTGGCCCTGTAGAGGTTGAAATGACCAAAAAAATGATCTCAAATCATAGTCATTAGTCTCCTAATAGCACACTCACTCAATAGCCCTTCTGTGTTGATCCATAAGAAGATAAATTTGTGGTTTTAAGAACCAAAAACCATCTCAGTGTAGTTTTAGCTCTAGTAACAACAGGCTGGCTGACTGTTTTCTGAGTGATAAAATAGAAATATAGCAGATTTCAGGTAAATGCTCAGAGAAACCAAATCCTGCAAGGTTGGATGGTGGGTCCAGGTGGGTGGGGCTTGGGGCGTGGCAGAGAGCGATGATTGTATAGTTGTGACATCACCAATTTACAGAAGTCCTGAAAGCTGGTTTTAAGGCTCAGTGTCTGAATACAGGCTGTGTGCATTTCTCTGTGGACTGAGCACTTTGATACTTTCACAGTATTAATATAGAACCTAGACCTGCTTTATTTTTGCTTTATAATCAAAAAAGACATGGAAATCTACCTTTATACAATATGGGACTTTTAAATGGATATAGTGACTATTCATAATATATTTACATCAGCTATGGCTATAATAAACGTTTTAGGTTTGCTGTGAATTATGTTTTATTCCGATTTGTTGTCCTCCTCTTCTGTTGTCTCCCATTTTCCTCTCTAAAGCTCTAAACATTAACACCAGACCACTTCAGGTAAGTGGGCTCGTCTATTACACACTGTTTCAAGTGGGCAGAGATTTACAAAAGCTGTTTGAAGTGCTGATAGGAGGATTGCAACTCCTGTAAGTGTTACACAGCCTCATGAGGAAATTTGAAAAAGTGTAATGCAGCTCAAAAATTCAATAAAAACAAATATTTAAATTAAAGATGATTTTATATGCTCAGCACCTTAAAAAGTCTGTGGGTTTCTATCAGTGTCCCGTCCTCCCTCTCTGTCTGCAGTCTCTCTCTCCCCGTGTTTCTCCGGGTGAGTGTGACTGTCTGAACGGAGGCAGGCGTGCTGGAGACAGAGCGGCGCCCCTCCAGCTGTAACCCATCCTGTAATCAAGGCTTCTGCAAATACCCAGCTCTGGCATTACCATCCTGCCAGATACCTGCGATACCTACCACTCAGCCTGCGTTTCAAGCTACTCCAAGCTATAGTTTGCCAGTTAACGTAGCCTGACCTGGTGTCCTCCCCTCTGCTTTGTTCCGGCCTCTGTCTCCAACCCTTTGTGTTCTCAATCCTGCTCCTCTGCCCTGGACCCCTGCTCGGCTAAGCCACAGCTTTCCCCCTGCACTGCAAAACCAGCCAAGCCAACAGCCCAGTCCCCTCTGCCCTGCTTGTCCTTGTCCTCAAATCCTATCCCTTCAACCCTGCAATAAATATTCTTCTATTCAACTCGTCTAATCACCTCTCTGTGTTTTGCCCTTGTATTCTCTAGGATCTCAGTCTGCATTCCAAACACTTTTGCCATTTTTACCCACACCCCACAAATTTAATGACCCCATTATTTCCTAATAATTCTATTATAATTCCCAATAACGGTTCTTGAAAAGATAGCATTTGGTACTAATTGTATGGAGGAGCAGAAAAGCTCCATTTAAACCCATTTAAATGTTAATTCATTATTAAATTACAGCAGAAACTTAATGCTACATATTCAAATGTATGCTTTCCTATAGACATTTAACATTTTTGCATGTTTATCTGACATGGCTTGCTGTGCACTGAGTTACAATAACAACTCAATGGGATTAATTCATGGGAAGTGCAATATTTTAACACTGTCTCCCTTTTACCCATGATTATCATTAAATTAAATCATTAAATAATTCTTTCCACAAAAAAATCCTCAGAAATTAAATTATTACGAATCACGTAGCATGCAGCTGTTTAATCTCTTTTGTCAATGCTTTTTCCTCCCAAACATGACATATACATTAACAACCCTACAGCCATATTTTCAGTATGACACATTGGCAAATGTGAGTATATAAATGCCCCAATAATGAAACCCAACAAATGAGTCATTTCCATTCTGTCATTTTTTTGTATACTCAATTTTGCAATTTTGTCATCAACACAGTACAATACATGTTCAAAACATTATTGAAATGAAGTGTGCAACTGGAACATAGCAGGGCAGTCAGGACACAAACAAGAAGGCTGGAAAGAGAAAAATGGTGCAGGTGTTGGAATGAGAATTACTCTCCCCAGGCGGTCGGAGAATTTTCAAAAACACATTGGATAACCTGTAAAGTGCATGGCTGGCAGGTATTAAAACATTGCTGTTGTTTTGAAGCCCCTGGAGCTGACATTTCGTTGTGAAAATGCAGACAGAGAAGATAACCACCTCCTGGTACTATTCCACTGACCTGTGTGTTTCTGTCTTCATAGGCTCATCAGATCATTTTGTGTTTAAGCACATCACTTCAGTGTCAAAAACTCCTCTGTTACCTGAAGTATCCAATAATGAAGATGGCCACTAGCAGAGAGCTGAAGGACACAGCGTAGCCAATGGTGTACATGACATACAGCCGCTCAAAGAAGTCTTGCTGTGAACACAGAGACAAATACTTAAGGTGAAGCAGAGTCACAGAGAATACACTCAATATCACTCACAGTTTCTTGGCTAAACAAGATGCCACCACGACTGATGTTTTAGGAATCCAACTGTTTTGTATTTTTAGTGTACAGGAGAAGTTGAAGGAACAACAGGTGCACTGATTATTCAAGTTGAAACAGTTGCTAATGCTGCTACAGTATGTAGCCTGTACACAAGAGTTGATCAGTAACCCGTTCCCAGACCTGTTGCTTAGTGTGAGTTTTGTCGGAAGATAAGAGATAAGATGACGCATTATCCCTCAGGCAACATGGCTGCTTAGACGAATAGGTTGAACATCAAAAGGTGGATAGATGAATCAACTTAAAAGTAGTCGACATTCATACTATATATTTATCTTTGATGATACATTTTCAAAGTAGTCAGGGTGATTCATCTTCATCCATCTTCAACATCCTTGCTTTCTGCAGAAGGCCTACGTTTTTCAAAACTGGATAAAGTTACATGAGGTAGGCTTGTGTCTCAGAAGAGTCACATGGTCTCATTTCCATTCAAAATGAAAAGCTTGAGGATAAGTATTCACTTCAGCCACTCTTCCATGTTCAGGTGTCTCCAGTAAAGTCGAGTCTTCAGGAAATCAAGTCTCAAGTCTAATTTTTGTGACTCGAGTCTGACTTGTGTACAAGTCTAGATCTGATAAAACAATATATCAAATGACTATCCCAGCATGCATTTGACTTCAGTTAAAAAAAAGTCAGCAACTTACCAGCACACACTGTGGCATAGGTTAAAAAGACAGATATTTACTTCTGGAGTTGGTGGAGACCAAAACAGGGATAAAACCTGAGTGAGCATTAGACTTAACTCCAAATAAATACTGTTAATGGTCTGCATCTGCCAGGTGTTTGCTAACACATTTTAACTTTATAAGGCGATACGTTAATATAACAGTGCTGTGTTTAAAGCTTGTTGTCCCCAGGTGGCCAAAATAGTAATTATGCAGCTTTAAAGTCTTAACAGGACACAGATCATCATGGCTCCATTGCCAACGAAGGATTAATGACCATTTACTCTTCTTGATGGGAAGACCCTCGATGTGATCACTTATTGTCCTTCCTCTCATCAGTTTGTTTTTTGGAGTTTTCACTTAAACATTAATGACTGTCAGACACTGCTATATGATTACTTACCTTCTTTTGAAAACTGTTTATTTTCTTTCTTTATGAGATGCTTGCTAAGTAATACATTCGAGGAATAAGGACATTTAGTGGGTTGTTACTCATGAGGGAGATGAAAAACACAATCCTGCTCCACAAAAACTGTCTACTCCTCAGACTTTTGTCTAATGTTACTTTTTCCTGATGCAATGTTGGATAGTTTCTTTGAGTCTAGAAAAACAAAAAAGTTAAAAAAAAAAATAAAAAATAAAAAATGAAAGGGGAAGCTCTTTGAATGAACTGCTGCCTCTGATGAGGGGTCAAAAGTAGACGTTGCTTTGAAGAGGTAACAAGCAAAAGAAGATGGGAGCTGCTGCTTTAAAGAAGCTGTTCATCATGTGGTAAGATGTGAATTTGTACCATATATATCCAGGTACCAGGAAACCAACTTTGCACATTGTGTTGTTATATAAAATGAAGCAAACTTGACTGTTTAGAATCTCATTTCATTTTCAAAGAACATCTATTATTGTTCACAGTCAGGCGCCACAATAGCTCGCTGACAAGATCCTGTGTGATTTTTAGCTTTGATTGCTACAAATGTAAACAACTGTCTATGTCTATGTATCTATGTGTGTATGTATGTGAGAAATATGTTTTTTCAGCTTTTTATATTGACAATTGTTTTGTTTTGTCTTCCTTAGCTTATTTGAGCCTCCAAACATTGTCACTTAGTTTTAGTATTGTTATATTTATATACCTGATGTTGTACTGACCCATCTGAAACTTGTAATGCTGGCCAGGCCTCCCTTGAAAAAGAGGCTGCTAACATCAAATGGAATTCACCAGGTTAAATAAGGATTAAATTTTGAAAATAAAATTGGATTAGCTTGTTAACCACATCTGCTTCTGCTTAGATATTTCTACAGTTGTACTTACTCTGTCTTCCTCATCACTGGGCTGAAGGAAGCGTAGACACTCTGAGTAGTTGGTCCATGTTTTGTTCCAATGGTCCACAAACACCCAAGAACCGTTGACATCACACTTCCTGTAAGCATGTCCTGCAAAGACATACTTTTAAATGATTTTGGACAACAAAAAAAAAACATTACAAGAGGTTCGGATAACTAATGCCACACTGTTATATTTTGTGTTTTTAGGAGCGGGAACGTTGGGCACTTGCCCCCAGCCTGGAGGAAAGGAATGTCCTGCACAGGTGATCAATAATAAAATGAATGATGTTTAAATTCAATTTAGCTGCTTCAGGTTCTGAGTCCTGGTTCTGTTCTGATTTATTAATTCATTCACTCCTGCTTTTCCTACTATGACAAGTCAAAAAGTCTACCACTATAAGTACATGGATTTTACATGCGCACTAGTATCACGGTTCGGGGTCTTATCCTGGTTTTGATCATATTCAGAATTTACAATTCCATGGAACATGAGAAATTTTGGTTATTCATACCCAGTGTCCAGTCTTCTGATCATCTGTGTGCAGTCATGTGTTGATTTCTCACCATCTAAACCTCTATGTACCAACAAAGAGCACCCAGAAACCAGGATAAGGTGTTAGCACACCCAAAATATTAGAAGGATAATCCAAAAACCGATCATAACCAGGATGCCAGTGCGCATGTAAACACAGTAGGTGACACACTTAATGTAATTTCCACCATAGCGCCACCCACCTTCAGCCTGAAAAGCAGCTTAATTAGCCAGAATTTTATGTGTAAGTAAGTCATGCTGCCTTAATTTATCACACATTTAAAGTTCCTTGCAGTCTTCTAGTGCTCGATGGTGGTGATGTTATATCTGAAAAAAAACAGACAGTTAACCTTTGTGATTGAAGTCATAGATGTAAGATGGGCAGGGAACCTTGGTAACCAGCCCTGGGGAGCCACGGGGCCAACAGATAAGACCATCCCAGTCTGGAGGGCACACTTCATCTGCAGTGAGAAGGAGAGGAAGTCTATTTAAGGTCGTTAAGCTTTTGCTAAAAACATGTATTATTTTATGTTTATTTGCTCCATAGCCTAATCATATTGTATTGTAACAACTAATCTGACAAATTATTCTTGATTACATTAATGTGCCTTAACTTAAATTCAGCCTGAACTCTGGTTGGTTGCTGATAAAATTTGGGTCAAATCAATTTTCTAAACGTCAAATGTGTTCTTTAACAAAAGGCTTCCAATTATTGTGTTTAATGTAAATGTATTTTTATAATAGAAATGTGTCTTTAATCACGATTCTTCACATTGCCTTTGTGATTTTATTTTTAATTCTAAATAAGCCCTAAATGTTGCTTCTAATAAGAAATTACATCTGTTCATGACTCATAGCAACAGAACAGAACCACAAATTTACTTTGAAAGAAGTGATGCAGTAAATAGCACCTAACACAGTTTGTAGTGACTAGAAAAGAATTGGTCTGTTGTCTGTTGGAGTGACAAAAGTGTCAGAGCTACAGAGCTTTAAATGTGTTGAATTCTATCAACTGTATACACCAATTTATCTAAGGTGAATGTTCACAACACTTCTTTCAAGTCCATTTATTAGCTATCATGATGTTTAAAATTGGCTTTATGAATGTGTTCTTGGTCTTTCATTCACTTGAGCACCCAAATACATGTTCAGGTTATGGTTACAATTTAATATTATAAGAATATAGTGCATGTAATGAATCTTTTCTAGGAAGGAGCACATGATCTTCATAAGTTAATAGCAAAAGATATCTCAAACCAATGCATGTCAGTGGCTGTTATCATGCAGGATGTATACAAAATCAAACAACATTCATCTAGAGACAAATGTCAGAGCCACTTATGGAAACTTAGGCTGACTGGAAGTGAAATGGGCACTAAACTCTGCTGGCTCACCTCCTTGTTGCTCTGCCAACAAAATTATTATATTTTCATATGGAAAACACTTCACACCCTCAGTTTTTTTTTGATAGGAAGTGGCTGCAGCTTTGATGCTAAAGTTCAACAAGAGAAATTGTAGCTCAGGTCATATCATCATCCCAGACAAATAGACAAATAAAAGTGTTTAAAAAAAAACTGTGAAGATACAAACCAGATAACAACCATTTACGCTCACATTCAAATCTATGGACACTTTAGAATCGCCAATTAACCTTATGTACATGTGTTTGGACTTTGGGAGGAAGCCGGAGTACCCGGAGAGAACCCACGCAGACAGGGAGAACATGCAAACTCCACACAGAAACACCACAGACCCAGGGCTCCAGCTCAGAAGCTTCTTGCTGTGAGTGTGTGTGAAAATATACTTTTTCTGTTAATAAAAAGCTTCTTAACAGCTTCAGAAACCTCCACTGTTTCTCCTGTTAAAAGTTTCTGGGTTTTTTTCACCATTTGGCATACCACTTGAAATTACACTGCTTCCACATGAACATGAAGAAAATTCAAAATCCCCCATAGCATTTTACAAAAAGAGTAACTCTTTCTGTACAAGTTTTGTACCTGTGGACCCTGGGTCAATGTTGGAGAGGTTCTGGTAGCACTGCAGTTTGATTTCATAAAGGATGTACATCTGCTCCTGTGCAGAGAGAGGACCATCGAACCCCATCTGTGGAGCACAACAAACAAGATCAGATTTTTGACCCCCTGTATGTGTCTAAACCGCCCAATGCCTGAAATTGGCTTTTCAATGACATTTGAAATATGTGAACTGCTGTTGGCCAGGCTATCATTTGGAAAGTTGAGAAAAGTTGTGACTACATAAACAATGGCAGAAAGCAGAGAGAAACAAAATTGTTTTCATATCCATTTTTCTGTCTTGTGTTGACTCACCAATACTGTGAAATTCAGCACTGAATATTGATAAGATTCCTCCTATTTTACCATCACATAGATGATTGTTCATACATTATATTTGCTAATCCCTATCCATTTGACACTCCTTTGAATCCTTTGCTCTCAAAACAGCCTCAGCTCTTTGTGGCATGTATTCCACAAGATGTTGGAAACATCACTTGAGATTCTGCTCCACGTTGACAGCTGCACATTCATGCTGCCTATCTCTTTTTGACTGCAGAGGCCATTGAAGTACACTGAACTCGCTTTCATGGCATTCAAATGATAATGATTAATATTAAGGGGCCCGGAGTGTGCCATGGAAACATTCCCCACACCATTATACCACCAACAGCAGCCTGGGCTGTTGACACAAGGCAGGTTGGGTCCATCTGACCCTACCATCTGCGTGCCTCAGCAGAAGTCAAGATTCATCAGACCAGGCTACGTTTCCAATCTTCAACTGTCCAGTCTTGGTGAGCTTTTGTCCTCTGAAGCCTCAGCTTTGTGGAAGCTTTCTGATGTTGTAGCACATCCGCCTCAGGGTTCAACATGTTGTGCATTCTGAGATGCTTATTTGCTCACCACAGCTCGAACGAGTGGTTATCTGAGTTATCGTAGTCTTTCTGTCAACTCCAACCAGACTGGCCATTCTCCCTTGTGCTCTCTTATCAACAAGAAGTTTATGTCCACAGAACTGCCACTAACTGGATCTTTTTTTACTTTTTCACACCATTCTGAGTAAAAACTGACTGTTGTGAAAGAAAATCCCACAAGATTGTCAGTTTCGGAAATATTCAATCTAAAAGTAACAATCACGCCACAGTGAAGGTCACTGAGATCACGGTTTTTCCTTTTGACCTGTATCTGCATGCCTGTGTACGTTGTACTGCTGCGACATGATTGGCTGATTGTATAATTTCACGAGTAAGCAGGTGTACAGGTGTTCCTAATAGAGTGCTCGGTGAGTGGAGTCTGGTTGCATTACAAAACTAGAATTACCACCTCGCGGTTGTATGCCTCTGCCAACCAGACACAGAAAATATGGTCATAATCATCCCTTCTGTTCCTGAGTTACTGTGTTGAATAATGGCCAGAAGCATAAACACATTCTTCTCTTAATCTTTGGTTCTTCACAACTAGATTTCATAGTGAGAGTGTTTACCGTCTCTGTGCAGTCAGTTACACTCACTTGACTTAAAATGTGAATTCCCATAAAATTGCCAAAGAGGATAATTTGAAAGACTGTCTGTGTACACAAACAACTCCATCTGTCAAGCCATCTGACAGACAGTTTGAAAGCAGAGTGAATGACATAAGGACATCTATCCAGACAGTTTTATCTTATTCTTAACAAACATCAGAAAGAACACAATGCTGTCTGTGCTACACAAGTGAAACACAGTGAGTCTAGGTGTGAGGAGCATGATTTAGTAAACTTTGATATTTGATTTTTTTACCTGCGCTGTCATCTTTATGTATGAATATGTACCTACATCACTAAAGCCATGTCGCAAAGGGAGGCAATAATTGAGGAGATATATATTACATCTTCGTTTCAACCCCACTGGGAAGATTACGTCAGTCACTTGTGTTCCTGACTGCATTCCTCATCTCTTATAACAGCTTCTGTATGGAAAAAAAAAAATCTCTGCTTAAGAAATCCTGTGAAAGTGCTGTCCTCAAGGATTCATTTCTAATAAAACATCTGTTTTTCATCTAATGAACATAGCTGTTAAAGCATTTCCCAATTGAAATCAAGTTTAAACTGAACAAAACATGCTTATAAAGTATTTAAACATAGGTAAAACTGCATGAGTCAAGAGGTGGACTTATACTTAAAACTAGTCTATAGACATGCCAACGGTTTGGACTAACACACTGACGCACATTGGTGCTTTGAGCTAAAAGTGGGCACCAAAAATGTCTGTGTAAAACTAACGCTAATCCATCCAATAGTTGTTGGGATATTTCAGTCTGGATTGTAAAAAATAAAGATTACAGAACATTACCCCTCTACATTATTTACATGGATCTTTTGAAGTTTTAAATTACATCCTTATCTCAACAATTATCTTTCATGTTAGATCCCAGCAATCATATCTGTCTTACATTCATATTGCTTCACACAAGATGACTTAAAGGTTAAAGCTGTCAACAGTTGAAAATCCCAACACCTTATTTTTAGAATGGCAAGGTTGTTTATTATCTAAAGAGGCAATTATAGAGTACTGGTACTGTACATGCATGGATTTCATACCTGATTTTTTTTTTTGTTTTACTTTTTCCATTTTTACATGTTTGTTTCCAAATATTTTACTCACTGTTAATGGCTTTATTCTTCTCAATTTGTTTAAGTTTTTTCTGTAATCACTAGAAGCAGTGGTACTTTTCTATAAATACATAAATCAAACTATCTTGTAACCTGTCGGCTGGTCAAGAATAACACAGTTCAGAATATGTGAAATGAGACTTCTGACAGAAACAATCAGGTATACTGAATGTCTTTTAAGATGTACATGCTTAAGAGTGGGTGTGCAGCAGACACAATGGAAGAGGATGGTTTGTGAAGTGTATGCTATTTCCCAGGAGTGTTTATTATAGTAAATTACTGTGATGATGTTTCCTAGTTTCATGATGACTGGAATGGTCGTGGTTCTTTTTTTTTTCTTCCAAAAGATAATTACATTTTGTTGTGCTGGTTATGTTTACGTAACTCAAAGCATTTTGAAAGATTGCCATCTTGGTTAACTGTTGAACAAGTCAACTTTGACTTGAAGCAGAAGATGGGATGTGTTTATTTCTTCAAAGACCAAAACTGTAATTTTCATTTAACTATCATCTTTCCTTGACTGCTTTTGTAACTTAAACCTAACTACACACAAGACACATTACACATACCCAAGTCTCCGGAATCAAAGTCCTATGCTTTGTACACCCACCTTCCGCCCCAACCATCTCCCTGTGGCTCCTGCACTGCAGCAAAGGAACGTAGCCCTTAATCTACTGTGAAAACATAGTTAAAGCAGCAACTACATTTCTTCCAAAACATGTTAAGCAACACTATATAAACTTAATTTGTAGAAGACAGGGTTGCATAAAGAGATAAGGAGAGAGGAGGAGAAGAGAGGAGAGAATCAGGACTAAAGCTTTAATTACAGAGGTTGAAGGTGAGCTTTTGTTTCCTGACAGTAATCTATGGTGTGTATTCACAGACATAAAGGATCGCCATGTCTTTTCAGCTGCAATTCATTAGCTTTGCCTCTCTCCCACAGAAATACATTTGCTGATCTGGCGGTCTGAATTACCCCAACATGTCAACATTGATGTGGATAAATTGTGTCTGTTAATCGAGGATAAAGAGGTAAAGAGGTTGCCCTTGCTGACTTAGTTTCAATACTATTACATAAAAAGAGGTGGTGTGCAATAAGCTTGTAACTTTCGGTAAAAATGGCAACATTATTTTAAAAAAAATCAGTCAACATTTGATGTGACTCCACATTCTGGAAAATGTTTCCCTACAATTTACTATCTTTGAGGAAGAATCTTCTCCAACTGATTCTACAAGTGGTAGAAACCAGTACAGCATGTAAAACCAGTGTCAAGTACGATTAAAATGTTTTGAACATTTCAAAGTACTTTGCATTCAAATTCTTTACCATATAGATGTTATATCACAAAGTGTTACTTTAGAAATTATACCTCTTCTACGATCTATTCATAGGCAAATGAAGCCTGCAGGCAAAAGCACAACTATAATTTCAAAGGTGTCAAATGTGTCAAGGTGCTAATTTCGATGTATTTCATGTCTGTATGCTTACAAATGAGCCAAGAGCATGTCTAAATGTCAGAAGTATATATTTCCACCCCAACTCTTTTTCGTCATATCATCAGAAAAATAAAACCTATACATATAACATATAACATATGCACGGTGTCTGTAAGGTCAAGAAGAAGCCACATCTAAGAGGATTAACAATTTTTCAACAAAAAGAATAAAGAAAATTGACAGCTAGAAATATGCAGCTTGTTGCAATGAGTGCAAATGCTAGTATGAAAAGGACACAGGGCTTGCACCAAGAAGCTGTTGCAGCAGTGATTCAAGCTGTCACAGCACCAGGGTTCAGAGGCAGTATATTAGGAAAACTGTTAAAAGCCATATATTTGTGTCACTACTCAGCAAGGGGCAAAAAGCAGCTTCCAGCTCTGGACTGTGACTTAAATTTGCACAATCTGCTGTATTGTTTTAAAGTTTTGCAACTCAACATACTCATACACTGACAGGTCAATTTCCGGTGAACACACTCTGAACTGAAATTGTCAGATTCCCACATTTGTTTTGCATAGGAGTGCTATGATTTGTCACAAAGCAGGTTCACACACTGTATGTAAATGACCAACTCAGCCAGCCAAGCTAGGTAGGCTTTATCTATTATAACTCTAGGCTTCTGAATCGCTACCCGCATCCACACTTTGTTCAATGATTCAAATAGATCTTGTGTTGTACCCACTGAGCTAGCTAGCTACCTTGCTAAATCCAGGAAAAACGCAGAGACAAGAATGAAACTGATGCAGCTGTACAGGTTGCTGTAATTGGAATTACAGAGATACCAACTTTGAAATGAGCTAATTTTTTTATCAGTGTGAAAAACTGATTGATCCCAGGAACCACTAAGTTTGGCATTAGTTTAGAAGACTCAGAAGTAACATTAGATTCTGGGCAAAGAGAAGTCTGTTTCCCCTTACCTTAACCTGAGCCTAACCTTTACCCTTACCCCAAACAGTTATCTCTGCCTACTGCCTACTGTTACCCCTACCACAGCTATCATGTCAACTGGAAGTGATGTCAGCAGAAGAGATACTACCTCACTCTCGAATGGTTGGTTAAGATAAAACAAAACATGAACACAAGTGCAACAAAAGTGCTCTTCTGTCTGAATATCAGGCAAAAGTGCAATTCACCAGAAACATTTGGAAACAGCCCTCCATTGATAAAACTGTGAAGTATTCCTGCATCCAGAGTGCAAATTATACAATGACCCAAACTGTTGTTTTTACCTCTTTTAGGGGGGTCACCACCATGTCTGATATACTAACAGTGGACTGTTTGATTTTCTTTTACTGATTCAGATAATTGGGGCTTTAAAAAACTAGACAAACAAGAATACTTAAATCCACCATATGGTCAGAGCTTTTTTCAAAATTATTCAAAATTATTCAAAACTATTTGCTATTAATCCTAACAGTCAGTTTAACATGAGTGGTGCTGCCACAACATTGCAATTTGAATCCTTGCACTTTTTTTAATGTCAGTATCATTCATTTTAGTGGATTTGGTGCTGAAGGTGCTGTCCATGGTGCTGATAAAGCAGGAACACTCTCCAGGACTCAATTCAAAATAGTGACACATTGACAACCATGTCTGAGATTACACTTCACATTTGACTACTCTGACTCTTGAAAGGTTAGTGACTAATAATCCTGCAAGTCTGATGGCAGGTGTTTCCTCCACCAAAGGCTCACATTACACTCTTTCAGGTGTTTTTACCTTTTTGTTACAGCTCATCACTGCCACCATTCAAAACAAACCATTTGAAATCTAATAATGCAAGAATAAAGTATTTTTGTCTCTCAGAGGAGCTGTTTGGTTTCACTCTTTGTAGGGGTTTGCACCACATATCACTTAATGAGAAATTATAAACTCCCATCTAATGCTGGGAAGACCTATCAGATATAAAGTGATCTGTACAGCATCCAGTACTGGCAGAGTGTGAGACAAACTGGCAGACAAACTGGTTAGCCTATTAATACAACTCCTCAAATGAACTCCTGAGAGGTCCAGCTCATAATAAACACACACAGACTTTCTGCAGTGCCAGTGTTGCAATGGTTCTATGACAACTGACAAAAAGAGAACAATGTTGGCTAGATATCAACAGGTTATATTATAAAAATGTGGAGAAACAATCAGAAAAGAATATAGTACAAAATGACTCATATGCTATGTTCCCTGGTGATGATGTTACAGAAATTGCCTGAAAACCCTCTGAGCACAATAAGCCCACAATGGATTGAGGATTAGAAAGAAATATACAATACCTTACAGGAGCCAAAAGGAAATGTCTCAGGGAGGAAAAACTCTCAGCTTTTATAGATTTTCCAGAGACAATAAACTGAAACATGATTAGCCATTTGCCAAAAACAACCTAATATTGACCAATTGGAAAAAGCCAGAAACTTATCTATAAGCTTTGTATATAATATGTGCAGAGGGAGAGGGCCTCCTCTGAACATCTGAAATGCATTTAGCATGATGTTTTCACTTCCCTCAGCTCCATGAATCCCACATGTGCAATGCACAGAGTAAAAAACGTATAATAGTTACAAAGTCAATACATGATAAAACTAATGATTCATACCCATTTGACTTTCACATAGACCACTTCTCTTTGCTTTTGCATCTCTGGGACAAACACTTCAGCGACACTGTAGTAGCCTTCTATTGAGGAAGGATGCACAAAAGACGAACGTGTAGTCTACACTGTAAAAGAAATATCAGCTCTTTATGGCTTGATTGTTGTATCTGTATAGTCAGAGATGAAGTGAGCCGTGTTGCTGCATATTAATGCTTATATTAGAACCTTTTTTTTCTCTTTTCTGCGACTCTACAGGCTAATTGATTTTTTTTTCTTATCACAATATACTGAGAGGGGAAACTCAAGAGGGGATTACTATTATTATTCACATGTATGACTTCAGTTCAGCAAAAATATAGCGACTGCTCTAATGTAATTTAAACAGTTTGCTATAATAAATCATGTTTCCTCACCTGTGCGTCAACCGACGTCCAGCAAATGGAAAAGTTTATGAGCAATATCCACGAGAGTAAGTTCATAGTTCCTCTGTCTGCCTTCATCTCCAGCAGTGTAAAAATAACACTGTACGTTCATTTGAATTCTCGCAACCTCATGCTTTAGATAAACATCGCCTCTGTTGTCGGCGCATCAGTGGATAAGAGCTTCACATTTTTTGAAAGTTTTATCGCAAGTTGTCCAGCACAGAGGGGGATGATGCGGCAGTGGGCTTCATCAAATCTCAAATTCCACGTGGCTTTCCCATCCAGACCCTCCTCGCGCGCATTCGGTCAAATCCTCAGAAATGAGCAGGCTACCGTGTTATATCGCTGGCTCTGGCTCCTGGGAGCAGGCGGGCACTGGAGAGTGCCGTGATGTGGCTTCACATTCACGTAATGAAAACTTTTGTCTGTCAAAGATCCCCTCAGTGTGTGAGTACTCTCTACCACAGAGTTACGCGGTGAGTAAAAGCTGCCTCTACCTTCTTTGTATCACTCCACACCATGTGATCCCCTCGCGCAGTAATTCACGACGTGTGCAGAGGGGGCACCCAGCGGTTCCCATTCGTCCTTTTTACCCCTAAAACAGCCTATAGGATGTGAAATAAACTGAGATGTGTTTGAAATATCATTTACATATTTTATCCTTATTAAAATGCCTAAATTTACAGCAGATATAAACATGGTACAAAAACGGTTTTGGTCTCTATAGCTAACTTCTCCCTTCATGACAACTGTACAGGGGGTAAAATTTTGTAGAACTCCCTCATTTAAATTTTATCAAGGCTTAAAGTTATGCATCATTGAGGTAAAGGTAAATATGTTTGTGATAATATATGTGATAGACAATGATAATAAACCTACAATAAGTTATTTTTTGGGAACTTGGTTGGAAGCAGTGGAAACAAGCAGTAAACACAAGACTTTAATCACCTTACAAAGTTGATATAACAAACTTATTAGCAAACCCTTGGCTAATTACACGTCCAGTGGTTGGTGCAAAAGCAGCTAGCTGTCTTTGTAGCTCTGTTTTTGGTCTCCAGAGGCATGCATACAAAAGACCAATACAACATTTGTACATAATTGATTTATATAATTTGCTGGTTACTAGTTCCATATATTTAAGAACCAATAATGACTTCAGTTATCTTCCTGTGATTGGACCCCATCCATGAGATGCCTGCTTCTCACTGTCAGCCTAGACTCCAGTCTGCTGTGTAGTGTCACATACTTAACTGATAAAAGTGAGAATTATACTCAATTAAATTGAATAATTTAACAGATAAAAGCTAACTTAGATTTTATTAATTAAATGAGCAGGTTCCATGCGTTAACAAGACATTACTTAGTTGGGATCAGAGGTGAGTTCACCAAGCTTGACAACAAAGCAGAAGTCTCATTACCTGTTGCCCATCCATCTAAGAAAAATCACCTGCCACTACTTTTACTGTGTGAATTTGTATTTTTAAAGTTTTTTTTTTGTAATGGATGAAACAAAAAGTATAGACTTCAAAATTCTATTGATGGACAACTGCTAAGTTTAACTGGGCATTTTCAAGAAACAGATGGAGCTGCACCAACATAATTGTTAAGAGTTTTACTATCAATCAACTAATATGTTTTGACCCAAGGAGTCATAACATTCTGTTCAACTTGCAGTTCCATGGCAGCCCCATGTTTAATCCAATCATTACAGTATGTTTTTTTACAGTGTATTCTTTTCATTGTCAGGGACGTGTATTTGGTGGCAGTGGCCTGAAGGAGCTGTCCATGGTGCTGACAAGGCAGGCTAAAGCAGCAGCCCAATTCAAGCCATAGAACAAGCATTTCAATCAGGAAATTTGAAGTAAAATTAAATGTATTATGAACAGGAGATTTTGGTGCTTAGGCCCAGACAGGAAGTAGCTCACCATGTGAAAAATGGATAGGAAAAATGTGCTTCTAATATTCAGGAAACTTCCCCCAGAGCCTTAGATGCTGGTGATGGTGATGAAGAATGGAGCTTGATGGTTTTCATGAAGTTTCCCTTTCATGAAGACGTCATGAAAAGGAAACTTGCGATTGAAGGGTATGATTGGAAATAGCCAGGCATCCACAGTTGAGGTGGTGCAGGGGTTGCAAAATCGTCATGGTGCTGAAATGACAGCAGAGAGACAGAATACTTTTGAAGTTTGACAGCTTACTGTGATTGGCTTAAGGTGAGCATCTCAAGTTATGATTGGATGAAGACAAGAATGAGCTGATGGAGCTTAAAGATAGTGGGAAATTGAGCTTGTGACCTAAAAGGCATGCACAAGGAGATAGTCTACCTAACTGAGCTAAGCTTCAGAGAGTGCTGTGGGAATGAGTCCTAACACCCTAAAATAAGTTAGCATTTAGGACCCCTGGTTTCCTCGTCCTGAAGTTATTGGGTTTTTTGAAAGGATTTTTGGTTAGATAACTGAAGTAAGATATGTGGTTAATACAAGACATTTTCATATTTTAGTCTATGACATAGAATATGTCAATAAATACCCCACTCATTATTTTTTTTAAGCTTTTACATGTCCTTAAAAAGACCCATTGCTAAGAAGTGGCTAAATGAGACTACAGAAGTCGTCTGAGACATTAAAGGTCGTCATGGCAAACACAAAGACAGATCTACTCACCTGTCCACCTTTACAGCCTTGTTATTTTACTTGTGCTCTTGCAAACTATTAACTAGGAACGACTTTTGTAGAGAAGGTAAGCGTGCCAAATCAAACTACAAGCTGGAAGTCATGATCCATGGTGTAGTTTGTTTATAGCCTAACATTAGCTTTTTACTTCTGGCAATTGTATTTGGGCTTCAAAAATCACAAAATGTGTTAGTATCATGAACTTTTGTTTGTCACAGAAATTATTTTCTGAATCAATCCAAAAGCCAATGTAAAAATTCCATTGGCTTTAACAGCGGGATGATACTAACTTCTGGGAGAATTTTGTGTGAAAAACCATCCCTGTTCCCCCCTTTCTTTAAAAGGTCTGTAACTGTTTATAAAGCACTTTGTGCATGAATCTCTAATTATGTTGCCAAAAAAATCAAAAGTTGTAGCACAATGCACACATGGGCAGTGCCTCCCTGGTGACTCATTGATGAGCTAATGCATTTAGTGCACATGCCAGCACATCAAACTGAGCAGTGTCCTGTTCAAACTGTAGCTGTTGATGACATGTAGCTGTCAAATTGACATTTATTGGCCAGCATTAACCCATTATGTGATGAGTGTAAAATAAACCACCTCAGAACCTTGTATTAGCATCGTGACAGTAGAGAGGGGAGACATGGAGAGAGGAAAAAACTTTGAATGCATTTTTGCAGAAATAGAAGGAGGATGCACTGTCTCACATGGAAAATAGTTTGAATAGGATGTGATTATTGTATGATTTTATAACCGAGTGCTCATTTTTTTCTGTGCTCAATTAGTGGAAAAGGTCATCCTCTTATATTTCTATGAGTTCTCTTCAGCATCCCACAAAGACATCCTTACAGTGCTGGAGCGATGGCCTAGGCAGGTGCGAGCCATCTACCCTGATGAAACATGACGTGGTGAGAACCCAGTACAAGTCCTTGTATGAAACCCTCTGTAAAGCCTCCCTAAAGCTCATTCAGTCCAGACCCAAAGCTTCATTGCTTGTGGCTGCTTGCTTTCACCAGGCAATTACACATATCTTTGGAGATGCTTGCACTCTAACATAGTAGGGCTGAGATAAATAGGAAATGTTCTCATCTAAGAACTTACATGTTTCTATAAGAATTCCACTAAGCTCCCGCACTGCCATTACTATCACTGTGTTGAATGTGTTGTTGTATGTAGTCCTCTGTCCTCTGTCCTCAACTATATTGATTCCCAATATAGTTAAGGTTCTCTCTCTTCACCTCCCTCGGCAGCTTCAATTAAGTATATTTTCATCATTGTTTTCTCAAAAGCCCCTCTGTTTCAAAGGATGTTGCTTCATTTATGCTATCATTGAACCTTGCTTTCACATTGGAGATATGTGTACCACAATACTGATGTTTGACTTTCCAAATTGCAAACAAGGACACACATGACTTGGTATTTGAGTCAGTTATAAAAAAGGGAAAAAGTTGATGCTGAGTAATTTACGTTATTGTTAAGGACATTAAAGCTCACATGGTTATCCTCATCTTGTTACAGCTGCATGCATGCAAACTAATGGTTTAAGTGGTTTAGATAGATCGGATACAGTATTGTGTTTTTAAGGCATAGCTTAAATTCTATGGCCTGTAATGTACCTGCATGACCCTGCACCTTTAGCTAAACTTACCTCTTAAGTTGCACCAAGAGTCAGCTTCCTTAGGCAAGTTATATTTAAAACTGTTTACACAGTATCTATCAAGTGAAGAAATATACAGAAATATAGTGCAGAGTATTCAGACCCTTTCACTTTTTGTTATGTTGCAGCCTGATGCTAAAATCAGTTAAATTCATTTTTTTCCATCATTAGTCTTTACTCAATACCCCATAAGGACAAGGTGAAATTTTTTTGCAAATTTATTAAAAAGGAAAAACAGAACTATCACATTGACATAAGTATGTTAAGTATATCCATATTCTTTACTTTGATACTTGAAATTTAGCTGAAGTGCCTCCCATTTCTCTCAGTCATTTTGAGATGTGCCTACACCTTGATTGAGAGACCACCTGCAGTCAATTCAGTTCATTGGACCTGATTTGGAAAGGCACACACCTGTCTTTATAAGTTCTCACAGCTGACAATGCATATTAGAGCAAAAGCCAAGCTATGAGGTGGAAGGAACTGTCTGCAGAGCTCAGAGACAGGACTGTGTCGAGGCACAGTTATGGGGAAGGCTACCAAAAAAAAAAAAAATGTTGCATTGAAGGTTCCCAAGAGCACAGTGGCCTCCATAGTGGCTAAGGGACATCTCTGTGAATGTCCTTGTGAGACCACACCCTTTACTTGAACCCAATTCAACATCTCTTTACAACCTCCACAAAGGCGCCCTAACAAAACAGAACTCCAACATAGTTGAAAGATTA